TGCGATGCCGATATGCATGTAGGGTCCAATACTTGAGACAAGAGAGAGAGAGAGAGAGAGAGAGAGACATGTCGACGCCTGGAATTGGAGGGCTAGCCAGGATATATCGGCCCTAATATCCAACGATACAGTACGGACGGAGTTGCTTTAGCATGCATTATGTTGCGGCTGGGACGTGCATCGCCAAGAGCTGGCTGGCCAGGCCGGCGCCCGTCAATCGTTGCCAGCCCAGCTGGAGAATAGCCGGCCTCTGGGTGATGATGTTCGCTGCTATAACCAACACGACGAAGGGCCATTCATCAGGTGAGAGAGCGGTAGTGTGTAAGCATGAGCTGAGCGGCATCAGCTGCTGCTACTCGCATGTACTCATACATACTCGCACAAGCGGCGCTCATCTTGCCACGCGGACCTTGCCAAGGCTGTCCGACTCGAGCGGAGCGTTGTACTGTACTCGTACATACAGAAAATGGCGACAAGACCAAGACGTTACACAAGAGTAGGCCGGACATGATTTCAATGCAGCCTCCCAGATCGTACCTGTATCCGGTGGTGGCCGGGCCATCTATGTAGCGACGAGCTGGGTCTGGTGATGTTTATTGGCCATGTATTATGACGACTGCCATGCAACACGCAACATGCAACATGCAACTGGCCGGCCAATCGAGCAAAAATGCAGGCAGCCTTTTTGCGTCCTTGGCCCGGGTGGGGGTACTCCGGCAGGAACGCCACTCGCAGGATCCTTTAATGAGCCTAAATCGGTGAGCCGCCGTTCCAGCAGGGTAAAAATAGAGAGAGGCACGAGGGATCGCGGAAGAGCGAGCCGGGTAAGAATGGGTGTGTGTGTGTGGTCTTCGGGGTTAAGGTCCCGAGGCGAGAAGTGGTCCAGCATGTACAAGACGGTGCTTGGGTCCGGCAACCCTCGTCCTTGTTCGCGTACGGAGTACGGGGAACGGGCAAATGCACGAAATACAGCCTGTTGCGAGGCCCAGTATGTACCTACCGCAGAGGTGGGAGAGAGGCTCGTCGGTACGCGTACAGTAGACGAGCAGCAGTGCTTGGTTGGCAGCAGCAGCTTGGTCATCGTGTTTGGTGTTTTCCGGCCCTCTTCTCTTCCCGTCGTCTCCCTTGCTTGCTTGCTTGCTTGCTTGAGATTGGACCGCATGGCTAGAGCTAGAGTAAAGCCCGCCCGCCCGAGCACCCTGCTTGCTCTCACGGCTGGCTACCTAGATGGCTAGCTGCTCGATAGAACGTGGGAGCGCAGGGTAGCACTCAAGTCCAGCGTCATGTCTGCCTGTGGGTTCAATCAAGAAAATGACTTGTGTTTGCTGCGTCGGCGCCCGTGGTCCATGTACCGACGGCTTGCCTCTCTCAGCTAGCACCGGCCACGTTCCTCCAATGGCGGCGCCGTGAAGCCATGATTGGTGCCTCTGCAGCCTTTTTGCCGGACTGAGCGGCCCTGGTCGATGCACGAGAACGAACCGGCTCAAGCGCGTGGCCTGTTTTTTCTTGTTGCTTGCCAGCCACGAGTGGGGGCAGCCCGAACAATCAAGGCAGCGGAGAGACTTGGGGAAAAAAGAGGCTCGACGGTCGCGAAAAGAGCTGCAAGGGAGGGGGGAAAACGAGGCCGCATGGGTGATGAAGATGGAGGGGGAGGTTAAGGAGGGGGAGCTGGTTGGAGCTGTTTTAGGGCATTGACGAGAGAAAAAAGCAGCGTGTGTGAGTGACGCCAGAACGAGGGGGAGAAAAAGAGACCCTGGAGGCGGTTGAGTCGAGACGAGACGAGACGAGACGAGACGAGATCTGAGGGGCTGGAGGGGCTTGGAGACAGTCCCACAAGCACATGTCAGAGAAAGTGGTCAGCGAGATAAAGCTTGCCACTAGCAGATAAGAACAGCGGACCACGGCTGCGTCAAACGGCTCAAACAGACAGACAGACAGACAGACAGACGCAGACCGCGGCTGCTCGGCGGCTTTGCTGCTACAGCACGGCAACTCGCTCGTATGTAAATTCGCACTGCTACAGTACCTTTGGAGGGGCAGGGCAGGGCAGGGCAATACTTGCAGTTGTGGCAGAAGCCGCCTGGGAGGACCAGGGCAGGGCTCGATTCAGGCTTGGGCTGGGACTCTGCGTACGAGTACCTATGGTCGACCTGGCTTTCGTGCGGGAATGCGCCGGGACTGCGCGTACCGATACGAAAAGAGCGCGCGCGTGGTGGCCACAAGAGTAGCGCCACGGGCTGATGCTGATTGATGGCTGCTCCCATAATTGTCAATCCTTTGAATAATAGAGCAGTCATACTGCTACTAATAGCCATGACTGATGGCTCGCTGCCCTCGACCAAAATGCCTTCCCACGCTCGCCAAGGGAGACAGCTGGTACTTAGGTACGGAGTATTTCCGTATGAGGGCTCTCTCCCGTCAACGCAGTTCGTGCGTACAGTAAGCTACTGCGTGCTAGCTGAAGATATGATATTCCGTTGACAGTGGCTTTATTCCCGTTGAAACGATGGGTTAATTATTAGCAAGGCACTATCGAACAAGTATGGGTATCCAGCAATGGAGTACGAGTATTACTCCGAGTCTATAATCCGTCCGGCCGGTGTAAGTGTGAGTACATAGGTACTCTCGTACCTATGTGTCCATACCAGTACCTATCCCTCTCTTACGAGTACCTACCTACCTTAGTACTTAGCATTTCAGCTCGCTCGTATACCCTCCGTGCCTTGCTCTCGACGTTCTGTACTACTAATAACAGTAATTAATAGTATTGGTATTTCAATTTATTTTCTTTGCCTCCCCCACGCCCAGGCCCCCCACAAGGCAGCGTAGGGAACGGGCTAGGGTGCGGTCCCCGTTGCATGCCCGCCTCCATCGTGAGTGAAACCCTGTTTCGAATGGCACCCAATGCATCGTGGTGATGCTCTCGTCATGTAGCCCACGAGTAGCGAGTCGGAACGGGAGACACGGCCTTTATTGCGCATCGTGGGGCCGAGCGTCTGTTTCTGCAAATGGATGGGTATAGGTACTAAGGTTGCTGCAAAGCAGAAGCACATGCTAGCGTCACGGTACCATGCACGAGTGTGTAGGTACATTGACGATTCTTGGTTTCTTCGGCAGCTTGGCTGGCAGTTACAAGTACAGGCACGAGTACTGCGCCGTAGCAAGCACCAGCCTGCCTGCAATTGCCGACTACGGAGTACCAGGACGTCCGATCGACTGAAGCAAGGCAGGGAAACCTGTTCTTTCCCCCGCTCTGCAATACCTACTAAGGTACAGTAGCACCTCGGGCCAACCCTTGTTTTTGCACTCTTTGTCGTTGTTGGGCCGGGGCGCGATTTCCTGAGCTCTCCTGATGGCGCTGATCACGCCGTCATGGCCGCATCTAGCAGATCGCTGCCTCGACTGAGCTGTACCTTTAGAGGTACCTACCTAGAGGTAGTATTCGACAATGGAGCGAGCTGCTACCAGACAATCGTCTGCTGTGCAAGGTACAAGTACAAGTACAGGTACAAGTGCAAGTACCGTACAGCAACATCGCCGCCGTGCACTACCACGAACGAAATGTCTCAGGGTTCGGGATGGTGGGGCTGCGTGGTGGGGCCCATTTAGCAGCAAGCGCGACTCCGTTCTCGGTACAAGAGGCACTTGTCTGCAGTACCCTTGAGGGTTCTGCTTGGCAGGATTGCTAGCATTTGCAAGTACCTTTTTTTTTTTCCTCTTCTCTTCTTCGCGGTTGACTCTTTGCTGCGTACTATTGTTCGGGCCTGCTTGTAAGTGACATCTTTTTTTCTTTTCAAGTCATTATGAGTGAATGGGAAGCATCAGGGACAAAATGGTATTATTGCACAACAAGTTCAATATCAATATTTGCAAGCAGCCATCAGTAGTAGGTTATAAACAACAGCTCAAAGGTCTTACAATAGAGCAACCAAGAGGTTTAGGAGGTACCTTGCACTCAGTAAGTCTGGTACTTCCAAGTACGAGTTCCGTACTTTTGGTGGGACCCGACGGCTCTGAGCCACGAGGGTCCTTCCATGTCGATACCCGGTACTCCAGTGCCAAGTACGGATACTTGGCCACGCTCCACCCAAGCCATCATTCCTCCCCCCCCCGCGGAGCGTCGCGGCAGTACCTCTACCTCACCTCCAAGTAGACGGCGCTGCAGGCATTGGGTCTGTAATCATGAGAAAGCGCGGCAGGTACGGGGACGGGAGTATTATCGGTCAGTCTCCATCTTCACGGCTCCATTTTTGCTTCTAACCATCTGCTGCTAATTACCTAGAATCGGAGCATCACGCTCTGCGTCTGTGTCTGGTCTGTGACTCCGACTGACGTCTCTTTTTGCGCTCTCTCTCTCTCTCTCGTGGTTGTATTTCCCGCATCGTCTCAACGGTGAAACCAGGAAGAGCAAAGCAAAACAACAACAACGGCCGCCGCCGCCGCCGCTTTCGCTCACCAAAAGCCGCCTCTCGACTTTCACTCCCCTCAGACACACTCTTAGACGAGGGCAGCCAGCGCTCACTCGCTCGATCTGAGTCCACACCGAGGGCCCTCTTTTCGGCTGTCCAGTCCTACCTCAACTAACGCACTGCTGACGGTGAAGCTGCACCCGTACTCGTACTTTAGTCTCGTCCTTGCTGAACAGACTGACAACCGCGAGCTGTGCCTGCTCGTTGATTGACCAGACGGACCCGCCCGGCCAGAGTGCGGCCGTTTTCCCAATTCACTCATACAAGCAGCCGCCGCCAGCTTTTTTTCCCCTTCCCTCTTGACTTTCGCCTGTCACAGGCCAGCCGCCATCCAAGCAGGACTATTACAGGGGTCGTTGCTTTTTTTTTTTTCCCTTTAATCCTCTCTCGTCACCCCTCCACTCGGCTCGGATTCGCATCATCATCCTACATATACCTTACCTTGCAACTTACGTACTCAGCAAAGCCGCAACCTATTGTGGCCGCCCAGTCATTCCTCTAAGCGTCGCTCTCAACAGCATCCCGCAATCCATGGCCGTTGTCAGCCCGATTGCGATGCACCCGACCGTCACAGAACACGATTACCGCTTTCCGCGAAGACCCGATCCCCATCGAAGTACCGACCGCATTTTCGCCCGCATGGATTCGCAAGACGGCCATGTCGCACTCACCAACGGCAATGCCGCCGCCGCCGCCGTGACGAGCGGGCAGCCAGCCTCGTCGTCAAAAAACAACATCCTCAACGCTGCCCTGTTCGACGGGTTCCAAAAGGTGGAGGCGAGCTCGTCCGACAAGGACAACGACTTCGACAAGATGCAGAGCGAAGATCCGCTAGCCGCCCAGATCTGGAAGTTCTTCACCAAGACCAAGCAGCAGCTGCCGAACCAGCAGCGAATGGAGAACTTGACGTGGCGCATGATGGCTCTGAACCTGCGCAGGCGTAAGCAGCAGCAGCAGAAGATGCACAACAGGTATTATTATATATTTTTTTTTCTGTCGTCCCGTCTCATGCCCGGCCATGTTCGTTTGATTGGTCTGTCGTTTCTTGCATCGCTGCCGTTTAGCAGGCTTGATATGGCTTGGCTTCTCCTTTGGGGGGGAGCGGAGCGGGTTCGCTCTTCATCACATCATCCCGGCACTGGCTGACATATTTTCTCTTTTTCCTTTTTTCCTCGCATCGCAGATCTCTCTCCCAACCGACTCAACCACAAAACACTCCCAGCGGCATTGCCCAGCAGCTGCGAAAGACGTCCGACATCCATGCTCAGGGCATGGATGCCATGAACATTGACGACTTCATCTTCGCCGAGGAGGGAGGAGCCTCCATCAACGACACCTCACCGCAGCCTCCTGCATCGTCTCTCTCCGGTCCCCAGACCGCCGCCATCAAGACCAGCAAATCATCCAAGCCGCTGGCTTCGGCAATCCCCATCAAGGGCCGCAAGGGTTCTACCAATCAGTTCGTAGCGCAGTCCGTCCCTGTGCCGCCACCTCACCAGCGGGGGCACAACGATGAATTCCATTACGTCCCTCGACATGACAGGAAGACGAGTATAGACGACCGCCGGGTGAGTCAATTTCGAGTCAATTTCAATATGGGAAAAACTATGACCCAACCCCCACCAGGGAGAACAAGCTTTTTGGGACCTCTTGGTGTCGTTTTTTGTTTTTTTTTTCTTCTTTTGGCGCGCACTCAGCTTCTTGCTTTCTTCCACCTTGATTTTTTTGACTTTTTTTTCTTCCTTTTCCTTTACTTTGTCCTTTCCTTTTCCCTTTCCCCAAGAAGCGCATTCTTTTCCTTGTCCAACATGGCGCCGTCTGTTTTCTCTCCTAGTCAAGGGTCACCCGACTCCCATATAAATACCTTGATTCCCTGGTTGACGTCCACGGAGCTGCCAATGGATGAGCTAACAATGGACAACAAGACGAGGAAACGGCCTGCCAACTTCTCTCCACACGTGAGTGCCATCAACACTAGCTCATCAGGTCTCAACCTCGACTTGGAAGCCGACTCTGAGATCAATGGATACTCTCTCGATAACTCTCACGGAATGCCCCTGCAGCACCAAATGGCCAACAACCAAAGTTCGGCCTTTAATTTGGATGCCTTTATGGACAATGACCCCCTTGGCTCCGGCCACTTCCAGTCCAACTTCTCCTTCTCCCCTTCCACCTCTCCCATGATGCACAATGGACCCTTTCAATCCATGTACAGCAACGCCGGGCTACAGTCCTCTCTCAACAACCCCGATTTTTACTCTCCAACCGGTTCAGGCTATCCGTCGGCAACATCTACTCCCATGCCCGACGGCGAGGGCGTCTATTTTGGCTCTCAGGACATGCAGCACCACCACCCGCACCACCGCCCACAGGGCTTCCGACAGAGCTCTTCCAACATCAACCATCACATGGGCCACCCGTTCATGTATGGCGACTCCAACGGCGCCCGTGGCAGCAGTGCTAACGGCAACGGCAACGGCAACAGCGCCGTCTTCCCCTCCACAACTTCAAGCTCGGAAGCAGTGCCGGCGTACAGTGCCGGCCCAAGCTCCTTTACGCACATCGACCCAAGCCAAGTTTTCCAGACTGATTCGCAGGTCGCATCTCCCGTTCTGCCGATGCAGCAAGGAAGCATGCTTGGTTTTGGAGGCGAGTCCGATGAAGATGACGGCAATGCCTTTTTAGACCGCGGCGGCGTTGGTCTCCACGGCGACTTCACGTCGGCCGTCGACGAGGCTGGGTCTTTTGGCTGGGACGCCTCGCTCCCAGGGCAGTTCAGCACGCAAGCTGCTCGCTTTCCCGGCGGCCCAACTCGCAAGCAAGTCCAGATCGGCGGCATCACGACTGATTACGTCGACACCAGTGGTGACTGGGACGGCAACAGCCTGAGCCGATCACACTCGCAGTCGCTTGGTCTCGGTAACAACAGCAACGGCAACAGCAACAACAAGCAGCAGAACAAACTTCCTCGCAACTCGTCAACGCCCTCGCACATGGCGTCCAAGCACAGCGGCTTCGAGCAGATTGCCCAGTCGCTCCCCAGCTCTCCGGGCGGCCACGCTCCGGGAACCACTTCGGGCTATTCGTCAGTTGCACCAAGCAGGCCGACTTCACCGCCCCCAAGCTCCAAGCATGGCTCCTCGACCAATCTGCATGCGGTTAGTGGTAATCCCGGAGAGAGCGGCGCTCCCACTACTTGCACCAACTGCTTCACCCAGACGACTCCGCTGTGGAGGCGTAATCCTGAGGGTCAGCCTCTCTGCAATGCCTGCGGCCTCTTCTTGAAGCTCCACGGTGTCGTGCGGCCCCTCAGCTTGAAGACAGACGTCATCAAGAAGCGAAACAGAGGGTCTGGCGCCAATCTTCCCGTCGGAGGATCGCGGAAAAAATCGGCCACTGGTTCCAATGCCGCCTCGAGGAAGAACTCAACGCTGTCGATGGCTGCTGCCGCCGCCGCCGCCGCCGCCGCTGTGACGAACAGTCAAGTCGTGACAACGCCTCCATCGGTAACCCGACCCAGCAGCAACAAGGATGGTGACAGCCCCAGCAGCAGCGGGCAGCACACCGCAGGCAGCACGCCGGGTAGCCAGTATGGAGGGGCCACTATAGTGGGCGGTAAAGGCGTCGTGCCGATTGCCGCCGCGCCGCTGAAAACAACGCCAGGGCCGGGAGCTGGAGCTTCATCATCTGCGTCTCGCCCGGCCACGGCGCCATCCAAGAGGCAGCGCAGGCACAGCAAGAGCGAGGGTACCTCATTATCGGCCATGGACATTGACGGTCCTGCAGAACCCGTCGGGCGACAACTCGGCACGACCCCCAGCATGCCTTCCATCTCCAGCGCCATGATGTCCAACGGTAACTTCGCCATGGGCCAACGCTCCATGATGGCATCAAGCATGGTGTCTTTGGGTGGCAACCAACCCAACATGGTCAATAGCGCCGGCGGCTCATCAGGCCCTCAGGAATGGGAGTGGCTGACAATGAGTCTTTAAAAGGCCACTGGATTTCTACTTTGATTTTTTTTTAACATTGATCCAAAACAAGGGGCACAAAACCACTGGTTGGCTTCTTTGCCCTATGAAAACTCCAAAAAATATTAATTAAAGAGCTGGAAGGGCTATTTGAAGGAGCAGGCCAAATGGCTGATAATACAGGCGGGTTGCGTTACTTGCAAATGAAAGTCTTGGGCGGTATGTAGGGCATTGGGCGCAAAAGAATGGGCATCTCCACGGCGCGATGGTTCAAGCAATGATACCTGGGTCTGAATTTTTACTTGCTAGCACGGCTGGTTCTCGCAGTCTGATGATTTTTATCCGGGAAAGAAGGGTGGAGAAATTCATGGGAGTGTTTTTTGGTTTGATATCCGCGCAACTACGGCGAAAAAAGAGGCCTTCACCGAAAACCAACAAAGGGCGGCTTCTCGCGCCTCGGCGACGACTCAAACTCCCTCGATTCGACGTCTACATAATCACATTAGGGCCATTAAAGCAAAGCAATACAAGGGTCATCCAATATGGCCGAGATGTGGACTGAAGATGGAACCTGGTTGATACATCTACCGCACAATTTTCGCCTCTCTTTCTGTCGTCGGACGAATGACTAATTCATAGATTAATTTTGGGATGGTTTGGGGAGGGCGCCTTCAGTTTGCTTCTCAACCAGTGCCCCGGGAGGAACGAGTCCGTTTTTTTCTTTTTTTCTTTTTCTCTTGTTGTCGTTATCCGGTCTATTTTCAACGTTTGAATGAGGGATATCCACCTTTTCCTTTGTTTCTGCCTTTTCGTTTCACGAGAGAACTCGATGGGAAAGGCTTTCTACTTGACGGAGATTGGCTGTGGCGCAAGGATAATTGTTTGTTTGTTTTTTCTATATATGTTTTGGGTGCTTCCCCCCTTGTTTTTGGATGACTGGGCAAATGACGGGAGGAGTTGATTGCACTACTTTACAGTTGGAAAGATGTTTTGACGTCGGTGGGAAGTGTTTCTTTCTACAGAGACAGGCTTGGCAATAAATTCCTATTTTTGGAAAGCTCCCATTTTGTTTAACAATGTGAAGACGGCTGACTGACGGGCATCAAACGAGTATCAAAATCACAAAACACAGCCGCCACTTTGGGCTCATGATCACGCTGACATCCATGCAAAAAAAGTCATACATTCGATCGTCTACCTGTGTACCATATACTCGTGCTCGTTACTCCTACATGAATGCATCAATTCCGCCCCGGAATCCCAATGCCAGCCCGGCCAACCTGGCAGTCCGCCCCCATGCCGTCCTTTATACCATGAGAAAGCCAGACTTCACACCAACCCGCGCGTCTTTTAAGTTTTTGGTCGATGATCCATTTCTCTGCAACTCCAAAACCATTGTTTACAAAGGATGAAAAAAAAAAAAAGAACGAAAAAGTGAAAATAATGGAGACAAAAGGAAATGGCTGGTAATAGCACATTAAAGGAAGTAGTTGACATGAGGTTTTTGATGTCAATGGTCGACACGTTGAGGGTATCGTAACCAGAATAAGAAAGTGAGAGAAAGTCAAAAGAAAACAGGGAAACCCAGAGAGAGCAAAAGCAAGCAAACAAAGCAGCGGAAAAATATGACATGATTAAAGAGGGGGAAAAAAAGACATCTGCAGTGATGCAATATCTCAAAAGTTTTCAGAAAAAGCCCCCAAAAAAAGTCAAGAAAACCTCGTCCGGCGGAATGCAGCCCTGTGATAGCACCACTCGTATCCCATTGGTCTGCCCTAAAACATGGTCCCAAACGACGACTCGTCCGTGGGGATGCGCTTCCGGGGGGCGACGCCGTCTTCCGTGGCCGGCTTGCGATGCCGGAACGTGAAGCCGACGAAGAGGCTCTTGCTCATCTCTTCCTCACGCTCGGCCATGTTCTCCAGCGCAGCCTGTTTGTCGTGCACCTCCTTGTACTTGGCCATGTCGGCATCGTTGCCGAAGTCGTCAAAGTAGCCGGCGTCTGTCTCCGAGTCCAGCTCCGGGACAAAGGGCGCCCGCGTCTGCCGCAGCGTGTCCCAATCCACTTCGGAAAAATACTGATGTTCGTAGATGTCCTTGATGTTGGAAAAACGTTTGGCTCGCGAATTGATGCATCTTTTTCCAATGTTAGCCAAGGGAGGTCGGGACAATATATCTGGTGGTGCGGAGGGAGGGGGGTGCTTTCACTCACGTTGTTATGAAACTCCAGGTCCGGTTGCTCAAGAAGTAGTTGGGGTCTTCCCAGACAGGCCGCTTGAGAACCTCTTTCCAATGCTTCAGATTCCGCCATGTCTCGTCGGGAGTAGCGCCAGCGAATGGCGGAAAGCCGGTGAGTGCCTCAAACAGCATGCAGCCCAAGCTCCAGTAATCTACAGTGTAGTCATACTCTTCCCCTCTGAGGACTTCGGGTGCCATGTAGTCGGGCGAGCCGACAATGGACTTTGCGTAATTGACATCGCTCTCGCGCATGGTTCGATAGTTCTCTCGACGCTCGGCCACGGTCCGCTGCCCAATCGGCTTGCCAAAGGGTACGGGAGTCTCCGAGGCCCGTTCCAACTTGAGTCGCATAGACTCTATCTTTGATGGGGCTAGAACGCCGGCAGCGAGACCAAAGTCGGTCAGCTTGACGTGGCCGGTAGAGTCGACGAGGAAATTTTCCGGCTTCAGATCTCGATGGATGTAGCCGAGCTTATGGAGGGCACCGACAGAGCAGAACATTTCGGCGATGTAGAAGCGGGCATGTCGGTTAGACAGCACCCCAGTGTTGTTGAGAAGGGTGCGGAAATCGCCACCGGGCACGTACTCCATGGCAAGGTATATGTTTTTGTCGTCCTGAAACGAGTACAGGAGCCGAACAAGCCAGTCGCTCTGGGCCGTCGTCAGAATATCGCGTTCTGTGAGAACGTGTCGAACTTCGTCCAGCTTGAAGAGCAGCTTCTTGCTCATGACCTTGAGGGCGCACACTTCCCGCGTGTCCTTTTTCTGTGCCAGGAACACCTGGCCGTAGCCGCCCTGGCCGACCTGAGTGAGGATCTGGAAGTCGCCCTGTTTCAATCGGATCCGGCGTTTTCGAAGGTTGGCTCGCTCTCGGCCGGTATACTTGGACCACATAAGCCCGTGAGTTTCGTCGTCCGTCTCGGGGGGTTCCGGGAACTCGGCCTTGAAGGCGGCCAGCCTCTTTTGTCTCGCGCCAACATACGTGAGAAGGTCAAAGTAATAATCGAGGAAATCTGCAAACAGAGAGGAAATTTCAGTCAGCCAATCGGTTGGTGGGCAGCAATGCAATATCCAGAGGTAAAGGATTCAACCCCTCCCCCGGCTCCCCTCCACACATGTACACACACAGAACATGGACTTACATAGCTGCGTTACATTGACCATTCGGCGAACATTGGGTCTCTGGAGAATCTCACGCTCCTCGTCCGTCAAACCGCGAACGGTGTTAAATCTCTTCGCGATAATGGGACGGTCCCTTGTCTCGTATGCCTGCTGGCGAGAGAGCGCCGCATGGCTGTGGTGGGGTTGGCGGTCCTGGTCGTGAGCGGCGAGACGGGGCACGGGCGCATTGTCCTGAGGCTGTCGCCTCCGGGGAGTGCCAGGCGATGCTCTGCCAGTGCCGGGAGACGCTCGGCCAGTGCCAGGTGACGCTCTGCCCTTTGTTGCGCTTTGTACGGCTTCCTGGACCGCAGCGCTGAGCTCCTCGATGGGCTGCTTGCCCAGGGGCTGTACGTGAGGCTGAGGGGGAGGCTGGGTGGTGCTGCTGGCCTTGCCAGGCGAAAGCGGAGCGACTACGCTTTGCGGGCGCGTCAGCCTGATGGGAGTTTCGACGCCGGGGGAATTCAAGTTCATAGCGGTGTCGAAAACTGTGGGGAGGTCGTGGGCGCCAGGCGGGATCGTCTTCTTGCTGGGGCTTCCCAGCGGCGTGTTGAGAGGGTTGATGAAGCTGTTGATGTTGTTCATGGTTGGGGTGACGGGGCGAGGCGCGGCGTCACCAGCCAGCGGCGGCTTGTCCTTGCTGCTGCTGATGCTACTACTGCCGGGGAAGAAACTCGACATGAAGCTGGCCATAATTTTTTTTTTTAACCCGCTGCAAGGCGTGACGTGGCGGCGGTGGAGAGGGACTGTCGACCAGGGGGACAACAACGATAGAGGCTGCCGCCGAATCGATTGGCTGGGGGGGGGCTTCTGCGGCGGAGGATATCTGCTTCTGCGTATGTATACTATTGCTAGCGGTATGTGTGATCAGGTATGGGTGTATGTGCGTTTGCGGATCCCCTCTCGTCGTTCTTTGTCTCTTGGAGTCGTGCAACTGGTCGAGGCTTTGAGGAGCGAGGTGGAGAAGGCGCTTGGGGAGATTGGAACAAACCCCAGAACGGTGAATGAAGATGAAATCAGTCTGGCCGCTAGAGAGGCGCAAAGATGTCAGAGAAGTTGATGAGTGATACTGTGGGCAGCGAAGAGAGAGAAGAAAGAGAAGAAGAGCCGGTTAGCTGCAGGCAGGGTCAAGGGAAAACAAACAAACAAACGCAAGGGCGGGGACAAGACGAGAAGACAAAGCAAACCCAAAACCAAAAAGCTTACTCGTACTGGTATTTCCGTCTTACTCTTTTTTCCTTTCCCTTGCGGCTCGCTGTGTCAAACGGGCTGGCGACAATGGATTCTGATTTGCGAGCCTCTCTTGATCGATCAAGGTAACATTATGCAAAAAGCGGCATGGGGGGAGCTTTTTGGGTAAGTGGGATGTTGCTGTGATTGGGCTGGCTGGGATCCGCCGGCCTGGGGAGGATCTCAAAGTCAACATGGTTGCAGCAGCAACAAGCATTATCGCGGGGTGGGGCGGTGCGATGCCCACTGTAGAACAGCAGCTAGCAGCGCTATCGGGTGCTAGCACTGGCCCTCCAGTAGCGTCGACAGCAGTGCTCAACGGTGATTTGTGCCCTGTAGCGCCCTGTGGCACCCGCTACGGAAGGCTGGGCTGGTGGCGGCCTTTTTGGGGGGGCGGCGGCGATGACCTCAGCCGCGGGGGGATCGGAATCTCAGCTTCAAACATCCTAGATTGATACTTTTACAGGGCTGTTTCAAGCCTCCTCAACATCAAATTTCGGTGCTGCGGCGTTGCATCCAGCGTGTCGTGCAGATGCCAATGGCAATGCCTATCCAGTGTCTCGATCTAGATTCCTTTCCCTGCGGATTTTTACAAGCTTCGCAGGCTTTGACTGAGGTTAATGTTGCTCTTGACTCTGCATGTGGATTAGCGTGTCTGGAATGTCTGAGCTGAAGGGCTCATTTCCATGACAACATTGAACATGTGGCATCCGATGCTAAATGGCACGGCCCAAGGGAGGAGAGAGGGGAATCAACAATGCCAGATCCCGAGCACTGGCTGGCTGTATGGTAGACCAAGCTGAGTGGAATCTGCCGCTGCTTTGTGTTCATGTTCCAGAGTCAAAGGGTGTGGGGAAGAGTCTGGTGGCTTGAAGCTCTTCCCTGGGGGAAAATGTCCTCAACAAAAGGAAAAACAAACAAACAAACGAATCAGCCCCCACATGGTCAATTCTGGATTATACACGGTAATTGTGTACTCGTATGACGCGGGGAAAGATATCCTCGGCCATTATATGACCTGGCAATGGAAGATGTGAGAGTTCCAGCTACTCCTCAACGCTTCTGTCGTGGTTTGCCCTACTCGGTACTCGTACACACTCTCTGCATCATGAATGGTGATGTCTTTCCTCCTGTCTCTATTGAGATTGTCCCATCGATTTATAACCTTCTTCCGAATTGTGAGGTCCAATCACTCCCTCTTTATTGTGTGTATCCGAGCCGTAGAAGCTACATGTACTCCGGATCAAGAATTGTCAAAGAAATCGCCATCAACGGGCGCAACAAAGCGTGCAAGGCCATTGACGACGAATCCATTCAGCCAACAATGACTGCTGCTGAAAGACGAGCCTTGATCCCAATGTGTTCCTTCATCTCACCCCATACATGCATGGAGTTGCCAACAGCCATTCACTGTCGATGGAGCCTATATAAAGATCCCTTCATCCTCACCATGACAGCCGTGAGTGTCTGTAAAAGTTTCTTGTTTCAATTCCCCATGCAAGGCCCAAGTTATGACCCTGTTGAATTATTCATGAGGCCGTTTCCAAAATCGAAGCTTTCCCCCATGGTCAGCATGGATGCATCATGCTGCGTGACTGAAGCATGTGCCGCAACCTCCATACAACCAAGCGTGTACAATTCGCAAACCTCAACTTTGAAGAGCCTTGAAGAAATACAGCACGTGATAGAAAGGCTGCAGCGAGTTCAGCTTCTTCAAGAACAGCGCATCAACGAACTTGAACGCCAGCTCAAGTCACACCATGGAAGCGTAGTCGAGTTTCCCTGCTTCTCTCGCCTACCTCCAGAGCTGAGATGCCTTATATGGGAGCTGGCTTTGCCTGTGCAGATTTTTCGGCCCTTCCGCTATCTTCAGCCTTCGTTCTTAGAATGGTCAACTGTCATCCCACCGGCCATCTCCCGTGTCTGTCGGGAGGCTCGATACGTTGCGCATAGGCATGGCGCCCTCTATTGCCATGAGTTTCTCGCTCCCATGTCTTGGGCATGGTTCAATGGACACAAAGACATACTAGATCTTTCCCCGTATCGCATAGCGAAAGATGGGTTCATCCCTCTGGAGGCAAAGCTTCTCAAAGAAGCCAAAACTATCCTGCTGGATGCGGATCACGTCGACAAACGGTTGATAGCCGGGTTGTTTGGTGAAGGTAGCCGCCTTCCAAACGTCCGCACCATCTACCTGATGGCAGGAAACATATTTCTGGCAGAAAGGCAATCTTGGCATCCCCATGCGGTGGCCCGACTCTTTGGGGACAAATCCTTCGCCCATGTGGACATAGAAGATGGCGAAGAGGTTGAGCGGCTTGAACAGCTGCTACTCGATATGGCCAGCGCTTCCGACGGGAGTTTCACGGACAAGTGGCACAGAGATACCATTTCCAGGCTGCAGACTCAAGTTCGGCCGACGGCCACCGTTATGGAGCCCTGGAAGAAGGCAAAACAGCTCGTAATGCAAGGGTGGATGTCGTACAACGTCGACGCTTCCCCGTCAGATGTCGAGAACCATGTCGAGGAAGACGGTACGATGAAAGAAGACGAGGTCAGAAAGTGGTATCCCCAAATGCCTGCAGTCAAGTTGGTGCAGACATTTGAGCTGTCGCCGGTCACTAAGCTCGCAAAGTGGTACAAAGATCATGGAAGACAGTATATCGAGGACGTAAGAGGTTGAATCAAGGGAGTGGAGCATGTCTGAAATGCCTACTAAGGTATACATGTATGTACCAGGTATCTATACGTAGGGGGGGTGGTATGTCAGTTTACATTGTATACTGTCACAATAATAAAATCCCACTCACTATAATCAACCAAGTGTTTTTCGCCTATTCAATCATTTGTAGAGGATTTCCAACTGCAAGAGAGCTGACAATAGAGTTCATATACCCCGAGGATGTCGCATGAGTAACCGATCAGCCCACTCAACCTAGCTAGTGGCCAATCGCAGCCGCGAATCTGATCTTATCAATCTCGGCCTCAGTCACCTGCCAAACGCCATTCGACAATCACTTGACCCCCGAGCAGGGGATCTTCCCCTTCCCCTTGCGTCTTACATCCCACTTTCTACAGAGCAGTTCCCTCTTCTTTCGAGCTCGTTTACCAAAGGCTTCCCTCGGGTAAAGTCGAATCGACAGCATTCGTCCTAGCAACGCATGACCGAGGAGCCCGCCTATAAAGAACGCCAATCTCGCCTGCTACCAACGTCAACTGTTGATTGACTGACTTGTGCTGACGCAAAAAATAATCATCATTGCTTTCTTTCATCTATATAATCGATAACCATGAAGCTCCTCGGTGTCATTGGTGGTCTCTCCGGCTATGCCGCCGCTGTCGAGCTCACCGCTCCACTCTTCGGTGACGGCTCCGGTGAGAGGCGAATCCCATCGAGCTACGAGTCGGCAGTAATGGGCCGCCGAGTTTTGGCCCTCTCGAAGCTCGGCACTTTGTCCACCGTGTTTCCCCAATCGTCATCTTCTGGCGAGGCCGACGCGGCGGAGCGACGACCGGACGGGCTCGACGGGATTGCAATCGGCCTACAGGATTATTACGGAGATTGCGAGGATCAAGGCAACCCTACGCTCCTGGCCATCAAGATCGCCACCAGCTTCAAGAACGTCCGTGCCGGGTCCAACCTGACTCTGGCCGTGGAGTGGAAACCGCCGTACCCGCCGGCCAAGCGCATCCCGCTCCTCTCTCGCCTGTCTGCATACGTGCCGTACTTTGGCAACAAGGAATACAACCAAGAAGCCTCGACTCTTGCCGAGCCAGACGTCTCATCTTACCCCTCGCCTCCAGACACGGTGCCCTACTCTGCCGCCAACCTGCCCAGGTTCTCGCTCATCGGCTATCTGGAACCGATCAACCCGGACATCAAGGAGGCCGTTCGGCTTGCTTCGTGTTACACCACCAAACACGGCGATGCCAAGTACTGGCTGCCTGGCAACCCCATCCACGCCAGCGAGTGGGCAAGGCTGGTTGTTACGCAGGTGTACTGGATTGGCGGCTTCGGCGACCGTGCCTACATTGGATGGATCCCCATTGACGAGTGGAACAAGGTCACCAAGGAGGAGTGGCAGAGCATCCAGTTGCCTGGCGAGAAGAAAGGCTGGAGCGAGTGGAGCATCAACGAGGCCGGTGCTGGTGAGCTTTGATGAATTGCGTGCCTCGAGTTTCGAGACGCGCCGACCTGTACAATGTGACGGACCATGTGTTTGTATGATGCTAGCAGTAGTACCAAGTAGTAACGGTAACATTACCTTTTTTTTCTCTCTCTCTCTCTTTTTCGGGTTGATGTTTCATCTTGCGCGTCTGTAACTGACACTGTCAGAGTTCGTACTACCGCCACGACTTAGGCAGCTTCGAGTACATGCACATGATCAGAAGAGGCCTTGTTCTACTAATGATGCTTTTGCTCGTCACGATTCCGTTAGATGCCTGTTCATAGATAAGGAAGTACATGTAAATGTGCTATACTTTGTTTGTGTGTGTAGGTAGTGTTTTACGTATAGGTAGGTATGTACAAATCCTTTGATTCTGTCAAGATTCCTCGTCGGTGACGCTCTGGGAAACCGCAACAATCGTGGAACACAGAGCGACTCCGTTAGTCAATCTCGAATGGAACCAAATATACAACAAGTTTCTTCATATCTATGCAAATGGTGCTTTATGCCCTTCAAAGCCCAATATATTCGCGTCGGAGCAGCCGCATTTCCGTTTGAATCGCCCGACGGAGAATTATCGGGTCTAGGGTAACATGAGACGGGGACTCGTCGACGTGGCCTTGCATCTTGACGATATTACCTACATGTATGTACAAAGCACACGTGCATTCTTGACGTGCATGTATGGAGTCCGGCTTGCTAGGTGCCCAAAGGTTTCCCCATTTCCCCCGTGGAGGCTGATGCCATATCTGCCCGACTCCCGCGCGAACAAAGCATGTGCTGGGCCTCGACCACGACGATTCAATCAAGTGCCACGAAAACCACTCCGTAATCAAGCAAGACTTGTCTCATCCATCGAGCGTATCCGACCCGAGCTGCTGCGGAACGGGCTTGATCCGACAGACGCTCCGAGGCTGGGCCAGGCTCTTTGCTTCGTCTACGCGGACGATCAAGGGGCGTCCGGCTATCACATGTAAAGCCCGAAGCATTTGAACTTGTACCACGGTCAAGAAACCATCGAACCCCGAGAGACGGCCTAGGTCGCGTAGCTACCTGTGTGCAATCTTAATGGTATTTGCTGTATCCGATCCCGGTAGGTGGCGTGTAGAATCTTGGTCTCCAGGTATGGCAATAGCCTGGTGCGTGAGACAGTCTCTGTTGGATCGCTTCCACATCAATTTGGTAGCAGCAGCGGTTGACGAGTCCCCGTTTTGGAGATGAAAGCTTCACATATACGGCTAACAGGTGTAGCCGAGTCTGAGTTCCAGTCTTTGTTGATGGGAAGCAGAACAAAAACATGCAGAGGCTTGAACTACAGTCTTGACCATCGTTCATCATCATCATCATCATGAACCCCCCTCACCAACATAGTGGATACTCTGTACGGAATAGCAGCCGACATATTCAGTCAGGCATCGGGGTGAAGAGGGCATTCTTACTGTACCTACGGACAAGACAATGTCTTGACCTACTGCGTCACACAGTGGGACAGATGGCAGATCTGGCTGTCCGATACGAGCGAGACCCGGGACTAGTGGTAGTAGTAGCCACCTTCATTCGTGCCGAGGGCAAATGGCAATCTCGGGGTCTCCAGCCCAGATGCTGGCATGCGGACTACTGCTCCGGGCAGTGGCCGCGAGACCTGGAAACCGAAGGGCGAGCGAGGCTCCCGGGGCCTGGGCCTGTGTACGAGTAGTACTACTGTATGCCTTTTGCCCTGCCAGGGTTGTCCATTCTCGACTCAGACGCCATCACTCCCAGGGTCGTATTACTAGAGCCGTGCTGCTGTACAAGCTGAATGCGCCCAACGACGAAAGGGCCATATTCTTTGCGTTGTGGCGCTGAGCTAGGTTGCCGTCCTTGCGGCAACGAGGGAGATTGTAGCAAACTTGAGCACGCCACTGAGAAAACCGTTATTGTTGCTTGCAAACGCTCGCTGCGCTGCCTCACCGCCTCTGACTCCGCCTAGAGGGAGATTGGGGCTTGAATGGAGGATTCGATGTCGAATGCCAAAGTGTTATCCTCGGAGGTGTATTGGTCAGGCGTCCTCTGAAGTGGCCAATACGAGAGTTGCCATTGGGATCGCAGCGGCGCCACGCTTGACAAAATCACCGACCAAGGAGCCCGCGAGTACAGAGAGGCAAGGGAGAGTTGTGTTTCGGAGAAAGTTTCTTGCATGTCTCGTACCTACATGCACAAGTGCTATCTTGGCTAGGTGATATCCATGATATCGGTCAGTTTGTTTGCGCCGATTATCACTTTGCATCGCGTGGCTGCATGCACATGCGGGCAAGGGCATCGAGTTACATGCGCTCTTTGACCAGAGGGAAAAGAGGCACCCCGGCCCTCGCAGCATACAGGCAGGACTCGTACATGCACTCGTACGGCAATACCTACAGACTCACACCTGTAGATGGGGATGGGGATGGAGATGGGACATACTGTACTCGTACATGCCCAAGCATGCATGTCGGTATCTTGTGCGGGGGTTGCATGCTGTCCGGAGTCCAAGTGCTCGTGCAGTACGGAGTAGATATGACAGATATCGTGCTACCTAGTAATGTAGTCCGTTTTCCTGATGGACATTGGTCCGCCATCGTGCCTTTCCTTGCTTTTAGTCCGTCTCGTTGTCGTCGGAATTACTACTACTACTGCACGCTTTGATCTTGAGTAATGGCAAGGCGAATATTTCGTAATGGCGGGCCGGACAAAAAAGCTCACCCCTTGTCAACGCGAGAAGATGGCGAGAAAACGTGGTATCAAGCAAAGTCACGAATCATGCAACTTGCAACATCTCCCCGAGGGCTCGAGTCTCTCCGGCCGTGTCTGGATGGACATTGTTCCGTCATCTTCTGCCTCTGCCTCTGCCTCTGCCTCTGCCTCGACTCGGCTGAAGGGGGGCGGCTGAACTGACCGAGCATTGGTTTTGCCTGGATGGTGCGTGCCAACATGGCCAAGCCGTACAACAAAGGCGCCAAAGAGGTGAAATGGTGCTGGCTCCGCGCTACTCGAGAGGTTATTTGCAGCTGGGATCCATCGAATCTGAGGGGGAAATTTTGGGGATGGGGGAATGGTGCAACGGGGTGGCCGCAGCCACACAGCAAATGTTGGTGGTGGCATGTGGCGCATTCGCGGGCTGGAGCGAGTTCCTGATTTGTAGAGGTACCTTGGCCAGTCCATCAGGTACGGAGCAAGCAGCTTTCCGTGGTTTAGCGCCCATGTCTGAGTGCATAGCGCCCGCCAATGGCCGCAGTCCCGCTACAAGGCCCTGAGCGATGCTTTTTGCCATTGAACTGGAATATCAAATCCACCCATGAGTTCTGGTGCCTTATCGCGCTGCTAAATTAATTGTTTGCCCGTCCGAAAGAGGCAGCACTGCACGCCCCCTCTGCTCGTCGGTTCCTGTTCCTGTTGCTGTAGGCATCGCGCCCTCTTGTGCCCAATACCGCAGGATAAATCCCCAATATCGCTTTGAGATTTGTGGCGGTTGAATAGGGGGGCTTGTGTAAGGTTCAATGTTTTACATCGTTCAAGCCGTCAAAAGGGCAATAGGTGCTGGCCCTGTCGATATTACCCGAGCTGCCTCTTATCGTCCCTGTGCGCTGGTGATTGAGGCGCTGCCAAGGTTACTAAGGTACCAGTACCTTGCCTTTCAGTACATGTAATTTTAGATCTGCTGTGCTCCACGCCCCGTGCTACTGCTTGTGCAGATAGGAAGTTGTTGTTGGGTCAAGTAGGTTAGTAGTGGTCACGCATCTCACGTTATACAAAGGAAAGGAGAGAACAAGAAAAAGAAGAAGAAACAAAAAAAAAAAAGCCGCGCAAAATCCGTTGTCAGGACCTCCTGTACGCTGGGGACAAGCCGCTAGACGACCTTGGAAGTTTCCATGTACAGTGCCCTCGCAGCCTTCAGGCCTTAGTGCCGCAGTACCTGCCTGTACTCGTACTTGCAGCTGGAGCACAGCACGGCTGTCACACCACCTACGGCGGCCCAAAGATTAGTGGGAATTGTGCGTCCAGTCAGCATCGCACAGTGTCCAGGGTACAGATACGGAACGCCCTCGGCGTGCTGTGCGACAGGTACAGATACAGACACCCTGCCCCGTACCTTGGCGAAACAAAAAATAGTTGAGGTGATGTGCTAAGGGAATTGAGCCGTCAGCTTCGCTCTCGCGGCCATTGTTCGCTCTCCCAAAACGCCTTTGCCGTCGGTCATATCGACTCCCTCCTTTTCTTCTTCTTCTTCCTCCCTCCATTCCGTCATTGGAACTTCATCTTGGCTTTTCTGCTTCTGCACTCCATTGCACCGCCTCGTCGGCATCTTCCCGCCCGAGATACGCACTGGACATCAACCGTCCTCGCGAGTCGTGCGGCAAGAGCCCTGATTTGCTGCCGCGCGCGCTATCGCAACGCCTGAGGCTGGGGCTGATATTCGGGTGCAGCGGGAAAATACAACTCCCTTCTGCCGGACATCGGTTGACGGTTCCGTACCTTCTTCTCGGGGCCCAAAAAAATCCAACGTCCACTCATCTTCCTCGCGGCCGTCGTCTGCCTCATATCGACCTTTTCCCAACCTCTCTTTTCCGCTGCGGCAACTGTCGTCAGGCTCGACCGGCCCTTGGAACGTCTATTCGCCTCTCCGAACTCAACCAGCTACCTATACCCGGCTGCTACCCGTATCGCACAGTATCGACTCGGTACCTACGCATCCACCTCGCCGCACCTACCTCTACCCAGCAGTACCTCGTACCTACCTTCGTTGGCATCCACATCTTCATACCTTAGCTAGCAATACAACGGGATGGCGCCTCACCTCCCGTCTGAGAGATGACCTCCAGGACCCCCATCGGCGTCCACCCGCGACCGCCGCAGCGAGCCCTCAGCAGCACGACGCTGCCGTCGGTTCAGCGGCCTCCGCCCCAACGCGCTCTGTCGCAGCAGCTGTTTCCTTCATCGCCGGTGCGCAAGGACTCGGCCCTTAGCGATGCCTCGAGCGACTCCTTCGACCCTGTCCAGGCCCAAGTTCAAGGGCAGGGCCAGGGCACAAACCATGCCCAAGGCCATGGTCGCCTTGTCACCACGCCGCGACGAGTCGGCTCTCGGTTGCGCCTCGAACTTTCCAACATCGACGCTCCTGGCAGCGTAGCTTCAGCATCAATGTCGGCCTCGGCCTCGGCATCTGTTTCTGCTGCTTCGTCACCACAGAGCCACACAACGTCGCGTGGACCGTCCATGGCTGACCCCGTAGATGTCGACGGCTCGAGCCCGGCACCTTCTCGGGCCTCGGCCACCGACTTCGACAATGATAACCATCCTCTACCCATGCCCAGACGACGCCCGCCGACATCACAGACATATCCAGAGCTCTCGAGGCGATTAGCAGCGCCTCCAAGGGCTACGCCAGCCCTCAAGAAGGATGGCCGCCCCAGGCCATGGACTGTTGAGGTTCCCAAGAACGCCCCGCGTTATCCCTCTGCGGATAAAAAGCCCAACCCTGCAGGTGGTGACCCGTTTAGTCGGGGGCTCTTTTCTGGACATGCCGACTTCTTTCCGTGGCATGGCGGCAACGGCAAGCACCACGAAGATGACTGGAGCCCTGAAGCGATTCAGAAGGGCACGTGGGATCGCGGCAACCAGAACGAGACGAGTACCGCGAGAATGACAATATCACCGGCCATCAAGCAAAAGACCGGCCTGAGTGCCCTCTCCACCATCTTCATGGGTGTGCTTAACCAGCGGAGGCATCGCGGCCACGTCACTGCTCCGTCGACCTTTAAGCCTCCTCCCCGCGTCACTCTTACCGATACTAAGAGGGAGGTCTGGATGAAGGATTTGGCGAATCCCGCCATCTCTCTCCGTCGGCTCAGTAGAACCATCCCTCATGGTATCCGGGGGCGAACTCTCCTCGACCAGTGTCTCAACAAAAGCGTGCCGACCGAACGAGCTGTCTGGCTGGCCAAGTGCGTCGGTGCCAACGAGATTCGCGCTTTCAAGAGAAAGGGAGCCCCTGGTGGCGCCTTTGCCATAGCAGGCGAATTCAAATGGATAAGGGATTGGACCCTTTTCGTGGAGCAATTTGTAGAGTCTGTTGCCTCTGCGTTTGGCGAACAAGACTGGAAGGCCAAGTTGACCTATGCGTGAGTTTGACGTCCCCATTCTTCGCCCTCCATTGAATCTGACTGACCTTTGTCCGATTAGCATACGACTGGCAACAAATCTTTACGCCGAACAGCTCCTTGACCGAGATCACTATCTTGATTGGATCACGTCTGGCCTGGAACATAGCACCCAGTCCAAGATTCCCATGTGGATCCTAATTGCTCAGATTTGCTGGGCCGACATCTTACGCTCCCGAAAGTATGGACGCCGTCTTGTTTACTCCCTTCTTGCCCATCTCAATACCGTAAGTCAGCTGTTCCAATTTTACGTTTCTCTCCCTGCTTTTTTATGGGCCCCCAAGCAATACTACCGTAGGAGTGAATAACGAGATTGAGAAGAGAGGGAACGAGTGGATACGTATGCTAACCGTTTGAAATGATAGATTCATATTCATCCTGACAAGGATATCCTCATGCAGCTATCGAGCCAGCTTTCCACCTTGTTATCCTCGCTCCTCAGGAATAACCCCGATAGCTTCATTGACCCGGGCCTTTGGCCAAAGTATAGAGATGCTCTAGATGCCTTCTTACCACGGGATGACAAAGTCGGCCGAGAAGCGTACCACTACATCAACATCAGAAATGGCCAGTTGTCTTTCACAAGCACTGCCTCGCCATTGGCCGGGCGACCACAGCTGGTGCGGCTTTTGGATGCTACGCTTCTTAGTCAGATAGACCGAGACCTGCCACAGAAGTGCTGGGCTACTGGAGACGACAAGGTTGATATCGTCAGGACTACCGTGGACTGGGCCACTTCCTTTTACCGTCCCGGCTTGGCAAGGGTGTACATTGCGGCCAACTTGATCAGGTTTTGGAGCACGCTCAGGGTCAACGTCACCGGTGCGATCCTCGAGCACATGGACACCATACCAGCCGGGGATGGGGGCCGGAAGCAGACCGTCTACCAACTGGTAACGGAACTGGTTCGCACTGGGCAGTTTTCGGTTCCCCAATACCTAAAGTGGCTCATGGCTCGCGGCGCCTGTAGCCACCCTTCCGAGGTCGATTCCGACGATGCTCCCTGCGCCACCAGACTGCTTATTCACCTCCCATTACGCTATCTCACTGAAGAGCAGAAGGATGATCGGGCCAATCTCCTGAGACGGGCTGCCAACTATTCTACTACCGAAGAAGCAAGCGACATTGGCAATGCCATCATGTGCGTTAACCACGCCTTGGGTCTACCCGTACATGGCCCCGTGTCCCGTAGAAATCCGGTTTCCTTGCGGAAACTTCTTCCTAGAATCATCAGCAGCTCAAAAGCTTTGCAGACGGCCGTGGGCCTCCACCTACGGGAGACTGTCTTGAGGCTTGTCAAGGCTGTGCAGCCCGTGTCTCTACGCCTATTCTCCGCGATACGCACTATTCTAGAGGGGACTCAAGACTTTTTTGCACTTTGCGACGTCTTGAAACTTTGCTCTAGAACAACCAACATCGAGGTGCTTGCCTCCTGTGTCGATACCGTCAACCTGAATCTCCAAGTCTTCTACGCTCAGGGTGGCGCGGAGCGTTTATTCAACATTTTCTTTGAGCGGCTAAAGGCCATCAATCAAGAGCAAGGTTTGGTTTCGCGTCCGTTGCTTGCTTCTCTCTGCTTCCTCTCCAGGCGGATGCCCAGCCGCCAGGAAATTTCAAAGTATCTGGCCCACGAGCTCGCCCAAAGTGATCGCAACAATGCGACCGATGCCTGCTCCCCCATCTCGGATAACATGGTCAATCCACCGTCGGGCGCTGATGGCGAGGTGTCGGAACAAATCGAGAAGCTGCTGGCTAGTGGAAACAGTATCGACCACCCGACCATGAATCGCCTCTTCGGATACATCATACGCAGACTGGAAGCAGGCTGGGCCAAGATGGATGACAACCGCAGGATCCACGCATCCCTTCTTACCCGCCTTCGTTTGTTCGACTCCCAGCATTTCGACAAGCTCATGTCCGACTGGGTTGGACGTGTTCGGTTGCTCAAGAGCCGGAAGCGATTGGATGCTGTGTTTCCCCTCCTGATCATAACTGATGCCTTGCCTGTTTCGTTCCTGGTAGGCCCTGCGAGCTTGACCCGAGCTGCCGCCCTAGGAGAGGCTGATGCGGCAGCGCCACCTGACTTGGCGAACCCAGGGGCAGTGACATATCTTCAGGAGCTGCTTCATTTGATCCTATCGAAGCTGCCTGCCGATACCGATCTTAGCCAGGAAGAGGCCTACCGCTTTGGCATCTACCAGCGGGCTATCCAATTTAATCATCACAAAGGCCTGCTTTCTCTCATACGCCACGCGGTCGTCGAATACGCAGACCTTCGAGCGCGAGATGGGAACGCAAACCTACCACTAGACAATGACACGTATCGCAACCGTGTGCTGGACGTTTTGCGACTCTTGATCGTGGTGCACACCGCGGATGTAACAGAAGTATTCAGCGCCAAAACTATCCCTCCGGCAGGGTTCCGCCTCGTCCACGAGATCATTGGCAGTCTATTCCAGCAGGAAGGGGATCAGGGCGCGTCGTCGGCTGCGCCTTATGACCAAATCTTGCGCCTGGCAAACGAGCTGACTATGCCCTTCTGTCAAATCAAGCTCAATATGGACCTTTCCATTCCCGCACCTCGCCAAGCCGACGGTGAAGATGGCCAACAGCAACAACACCCTTCTCAGTTTGATCTATTTGCCAAGGCCATGGATCGTGCCATTGAAGCACAAAACATTATGTGGACGACTATGCTTCCCTGCCTAAGTGAAGATATTTCTCGGCATTTACAGAGCCAGGCCCGTTCGCGGTTTTTGGATCTAGTACCAACTTCCTCATCGTCGCCCAAGGATCCAAGCAGTCTCCATGATACCCTTGCGAATGGCAATAATTTATACCTTGCGGAGAAGCTCCTTGGCGTTGTCGAGGCTATCGTTGTAGGCCAACAGCCGCCAAATACGGCTCAGCTCACCGGCGTCCTGGCCGACAGGTTGTCAGATCTCGTCGAAGTCGTTGTTGCGCCAAAGGATCAAGAAGACAAGATGAAGGGGTTGCTGATACCCATTATCGAGCACTGGTTACCGATGCTGCTCAAATTCGTGCTCCTCCACAGCGTGTCGTTGGAGCCATTGAGCGCATCTGTCATGACCACTTCTGCCCAAGGCAAGATAGTGTTGCCTCCGCACCACGAAGCACGAGCGCATACTGTTCTGACTCTCTGTCGTCTGTTCCTTGCGCTTGAAGCACTGCCGAGCCAGATTGTCGGCCCCAGTCTGCGGCAACAAGTCTTTGATGTCACCACCGTGTTGGCAGATGGCCTGCCGGATGACCTGCGCCTTCACTGCGCCAAGTCCATTCTTCTCGTGCCTGGCATGATGCCAAACTTGCACTCGTCTTCGGACGCTCGCCTATTCTACATCTTTAGCGTCCCGCAGCTCACCGCGACAGATGGGCTGATGCTTGCCCATAGGGAAAAGACGACGATGCCCCATAGCACAGCAGCCAGGGGCATGGGTGCAATGTATGGTATTGGCCCGACGACCCAGGAGAGGCTCTCCCCATTTGTTCTTCGGCGATGGGAATTACTGAGCGAGCCCACTCCCAACGTCGGCGTGAACGATACGAGCTTGAGTTTGGGCCTTTTTGAAGCCATTAGAATACACTAGTTTGTGTGTATTGGAGAGGAGGGAGTCTTGGCTTCTTGGCTTCCTTGCTGTCCCTTTCTCCTCTCATTTTCTCATTTACTTCTTTCTTATACTTGGGGCTGTTTTTGGTTTTATTTCCTGTCAAAGTCTGGGTTGCTTGTCTTTCAGCATCATATTCATCTCATCATTACGAAGCACCATCCAGCGCGCATAATGGCTACGTTCATGATCAAGTTTTTATGCGGCAGAGGAGAAACAAAAAGAAGAAGGCGAGCGGGGACCCCAGGCCCTTGCCTTAGAATGCATATCTCCCCCAAGGCAGTGCCTTTTGCTTCTGCATCTCTTTTTCTCTTTTTCCCCTTTTTCTTTTTTAATTTCGACGTTTTTTTTTTTTAATTTTGTTTGTCTCTCCTATTCAAGGAAGACGTATCATACCAGATGTGGAGATGAATATTCCCTAATTGCGATGACTCACGTGTCGGTTGGTAGCGAAAGGGACATGAAGGAGGTCGACAGTGGAAATGGACGCCCGTTTTGGGATCACATAGGGGGGAGGAGATACCTTAGAATGAGAGGAGTTGTGTCATCGAGAGCATAGCATTTTCTTTCAACCACCTTGTCTTGTTCTTTTTCTTTGTCATTTCTTTCTTCTTTCTTTCCTACATTTCATATCTTGTTAAAGGAGTAGGGGGGGATTCTTCGCCAACTTCTCTTCTTTGTGTGTTGGAGAAGCCATAAAATTGTGATACAGGAGGAAAGGGGTTAAAGAAGGATGTGACATATTCTGAAACTGACATTGATGTAGAAGGAGGCTCATTGCGAAGCATTGCCTGTGTTTTTTCTTTTCAATCTGGGATTTGGAGTTTGTTCTGTATTACGGCATGGATATGGGGAGAGGCTTTGAAGCGGGGTTTTGCTCTTTGCTGGTTGTTTCTTTTTGTTATGGCTGTTTCTCTGTAGGATACCTTTGCTGAATTGAATGACTTGACTTATATATACTCACACATAATGCTATGAAGAGTTACGGCAGAGGAGAACCGAGACAAGACGGAAAAAAAGGGGATAACATTCTATTATACATACTTTGAAGTTATCCTAACTTATACAATCTAGTTCATTCCATCCATCAAATCCCATCCACATCGCCCCACGACAGAAGAGAAATAAAGACGCGCGTGGTCTTGTTAGCCAGCAAGCGACCGATCAGTACTTGAAGCTATGAACAATACAATCTAGAGCCCTTTCCCTAGCAGAGACGGGGAAAGAAGAGCGTTCCAACGAAATAGCTGAGACAAATTTTTTGGGGTGGTGGATGGGAAGCAAAATGTAAAGGAAATTGATTGTATAAATCGACACGTTTGTGAGAAATACAGAGTAAAAACAAAAAAAAACATACTAATGATTGGAAAGGTGAGATGAGAGTAAGGGGGAAAAAAAGGAATAACAAGGGAACGAAAGAATGGAAACGCCATGCAATAGAGACAAGGTGGAGATGAACAGAAATACGAGACTAGATTACTTCGGAAAGAGCATAGCAAGCTAGAACTAATCCTCATCGAAAATCTGGTATGTGTTGACCAAGATGGTATCGATGACTTTGATCTGCCAGCCAGCATCTGTAATGGCGGTGCTTGGGTCAGTGCCCATGAGGGTTGGGCCGAGAATGACGGCTAGGTTGTGAGAGTTCATGCGGTTGACGTGAGAATTGTCAATGACGCGGTGTAGGTGAAGCATTAGGGCGCGCAGGGTGGCGTAGTTGGGGTCGGGGAGGCTGTTGATGATGGCGTGGAGTGAGTCTCGTCGAACAATCTCGTCTTCGTTTTCTGTAAGTACATGGTTAGTTAGTACGCAAGTCAAAAGGAGCTAAAAGAGCCTCGGGTTTCGGGAGGTGACATACTCGCTGCGTTGATAAAGCTGCTGTGGTGTTCTGTCGTGAACAAGGGGTCGGGGAGGTCACGGAAGAACTGCTTCAACAGGCCCGTAACGCTGTTGACATCGTGAAAGAAGTTCTCCGGATTTCTGAAATCAAGAGCTTGTGCCTGGGATTCTGCACAAGGGAACATTAGTGAGTAGCCAAGTAGCCAAGGGGGTGGGCGTGGGACATACCAGAATCGAACATGGTTTTCAGTCTATTGATGTGATTCAACGACCCAGATTGACGGTAGATGCCTTCTACCCCGAGACCAAATAAGTCAACAGCCTGGATGCACTGATACACAACCATAGGGACAGCAAGGCCGTCCCTCTCATAAAGGCGGCCGAGATGAACGCCAAACACTGGCTTGGAGGCTGGGGGGCCATGGTTGGGGGCACTGTATGCCGGGGGAGCGCTTGGCCCAGGAGGCTGGTAGGGAAGTCCCAACTGAGGAGGTGAAGCGCTCTTGGTTGATGGGCCTTCGTTATCTTGGAAGGGAAGCGCCCCGAGTTGAGGCGGGCCGGTGGTGGTGGGACCGCCATTGGGGAATCGAGGAGCTCCTGGTGCTGGACCTGCACCGTACTGCTGAGATGGAGGGCTGACGGGAGAGTTCAGCATGTTACCTTGGCTAAAGGTTCGGCTGTGGTTGGGCTGATGGAACGACTTTAGGGGCTCTGCACTGGTGGGAGTTGAAGCAGCCGCTGGCACAATGGTTCCTGGCCCTGGTCCCTGGAGACCTGGGCCGCCTGGTGTCGAACTGCTAAAGCTATTGCTATGGCCTGTTCTTGAGTTGACTGAAAAGGACTGTGGGGATTGTTGATATCCTCCTTGAGGAGCAGCCTGGCTAATGGAAGGCTTAGAAGTGTGGGAAACAGAGGGCAATGATGAGTGGCCCATGGCGCTGGGAGCTGAACCAAGGACCTAAAAGTTAAAGGAAGAAAGCATATTAGCATAGGAGCGGCCAGAGGTAGAATCAGATGGAACATTGAATACGCACCGGATTGCGTTCATATTTGATCTCGCCGGGGTTTGGCTGGACCTTGGAGTGATATCCTGCTACGAACTCATCCAGGTCCTTGTCGATGCTGATGGATGCAATGGCATATCTCATGCTTCGGGGTTGGTTGGGGCCGATGGAAGCTGCGTTCCTGAAGGGACTGATGACAAGACCGTTGCCTAGCAGCAGGTTCTCGTTGTTCAAAGCTATGGAAGAGTTTACTAGTCAGCATCTAGCTCGCAGTTGGTATTTTGCCAGCCAAATAAATACTTACCGAATCTTTGCATTTGCATCCCAACGGCGGAATCAATCTCGCGGATAGCCTCTTGTAATGACTTGACGATCTCGGGGCGGGTCGTGGTCTGGAGCTGGGCCTTTTCGGACTGAAGACTGGTGACGGCGCTGTGGTATATCTGGTCTGCGGTCTGGACCTTCTTCAGGAGCTCCTCCTCTTGTTGGGCGGCTGACTTGTGCGCCTTGAATGCGCCCAAGACCTTGCCGCCGCCGGGCCTGCTCTCGCCCGTCCTGGCGCGATCATATTCTTCAGCCAGAGAGTCGTACTTTGCTTTGCTCTTGCGCATGGCGGCTTCAAGGTCGACGACTTTTTGCTCAGCGGCCAGGCCGTTGGCCTTCCAGACCTTGCGGTTGCGCTCAGCGTTTCCGGCGGCCTCGAGGAGCTCTTCGTTCATTTGGAGAAGTGTGGCGGCAAACTGGATGCCATTATCAGCCATGCGCTCGTGAATATGGACCATTTCCTCGTAGACGTGGACGAATGTGCCTCCGCGCTGTTCGGGTCGCCGTATGTTATCCTGGGTGGCGCGCGCCAGCTTCTTGAGGGTCTGAGCACTGTCGTCTTCCAGGCCGGCTCGTTTTTTGAGAAAGGTGCCGAATTCCTGATTAGACGTCAGCTTCGTCTTCGCTTCTGTTGTCTCAGCCCCGTGGTGCTAGAGCTGCAGCTAGCACTGCATGCCCAGCCGGCCGCCCTATGCACAAGGACGACGATCTACCCAGATTGTAAGATTGATAGCAACTCACTTTTGCGGAAGCTATGCTCTGCTTCAAGCGCTGCAGCAGCGCGGGAATACCTTGCTGTTGAGAGGAGTCAGCATGGAGATGACGCGTGCGCATTTCACTCGCAAGATTCGTACCTCGGATGCCAGCACCTCGACAACCAACTTCAACACGGCTGGATCAGTCGGGGGCGGAGGGCTGGGCTGGTCCGCACCAGTCCCCAGGTGAAGCGTCGCCATGCCCTCGCTGAGCCTTGGATCGGTTTCGGCGCCTTCTTGCATGGTAGCAGCATCGCCGGAAGCTGGTCGGCCAAGCGTAGGGTCGTCTAGTGTAATGGACCCTGAATAGTCTCGCCTGTGCTGCTGCGTCGTCATCTGCGGCATCTGGAGCGACAGTGACGGCACAGAGGTGTCGATGGGGGAGCGAAAGTCGGACATGTTGCGCGCGGTTTTGCCTTGGAGGGGGCTCGACGCCTCGTGTACGATTGGGGAGGGAGAGATTGAGCAGTAGGCGATGACGAATCTCTGTGTTTGTATCGCCCGTTAATTCGCGAGGGAAAAAAAGAGATGCGCCGCCACGATTGGAGTTCGTGCTAGGATGTGGATACGGGTGAGTGAGATGCAGGAACAGCATGAATGGAACGAACTATAACGGACCAACGAAGTGGCGGGAGAGGGAGGCAGGGGTGGAAAACTCACTGGGAAAACGTCGAATATGTCTTTGATGGGAGAGTCACAGCCCTTTTTGAAGACGGGGGCGATGCTTTGCGACGTGATGAGCTTCGCAAGCCTCGGTTTGGAGCTTGATGTCTTTTCAACTTCTTCTTCTTCTTCTGTGTATGTAGCTTGTTGTGTATGTGTGTGTGTGTGTGTGTGTCTAGGAGCTGCAACGGAAGCGATGTCGATCAGTTCAGAGAGACCATTGAAAGGTGCCGCTCTCTCCGATGTCGTCACCAGTAATAAAAAAGAAGAAAAAATCAGGAAGAGAGAAGACAAGAAAGGGAAAATAAAAATAAGAGCAGGGTGAGGGGCCCGAGATTCGTAGAGCACAAGCCAATCGGCAAGCGATGGGGATTACAGAAGCTGGCTGCAGAAGAGATTTGGGGGCCGGGTTCTTTGTTCGGACAGCCGCCAAGGACGCAATAAATACAGTCCAATTCCTGCTGCAGGTTGAAGTGGGTGGCTGATGGAGGTCCAGTATCAAATGGGGACGGGCTTATAGAAGCGGATAACGGACGTCGATGGGGATAGAGGATGGGGATGAAGAATGGAGATGGAGATGGAGATGGAGATGGGGGGGAAACCTTGGTATGGGGGGTTTGGTGGCATGTTTTGGCTTTCAGTGGCTCTTCTTGGGGGGTTGGTGCTGCTGAGAGGCAACGCTGGCCCTTGAGCTACCGCTGCTAGCAGGCAGCCCAGTACATCCAGACTACGAGGCCAGGTACTTGCCGGGCGCTGGAAATGGCAGTACCGGCGGCTGGCGCTGAAATCGCTCGCTGAGGCCGGGGCGCTACACATTCAATCCATGGCGTAGTGCATCGGTACCATCTCTGTACTAACTCCGACCGCCCTCGTGTAAAATACCAAGGTACATACTGGTGTTGAAGTTGAGGTCTGCACCTCGCCAAAAGTAGAAGAGTTCAATGACCATTGAGTTGGGTATGTAGGTACTGATTTTCTCATGGATGAAACCCACGTCATTGCGCACCGCCTTTTCCACAGTCCACGATCCACTTTCGATTTCTTCCTTTCAAAGTTTCGTCTTGTTCAATTCTTGCTCGTTGTCTCTCATGACCGGCCGTGACTGTACGAAGTAGAGCGAGACACTTTCGGTGAAACTGTCGATTGCTTCGAAGCCTAGTGCCTCTCACATGTGCGTGGCTGCTGCGGGGAGCCCAGAAAGGCTGGAGACTGGGCAGAAGCTGTCCAAAGTTTCAGCGGCTCAACCTTATAAATAGGCGCGCTAGGGGACCTATCCCAGGTGGTTTAGCTCACAATGTGGTCCGTACGCGTATGTACGCCGTACTCGTACTGTAGAAACGGAGCACGAGGGTTCAACAACATGAGAGGAACGACTAGAACGGCGACCAAACGACAAAATGTTGGTAAATGAAGGAAAACAAAAGAAGCTTCGCGTTTCCTCTTATAAGTTGACCGCAGAGTATGGATGTGTTTAGGTCAATATTTGCTGCTAGAGCTGTCATTATCGATCAACCATCTTCCCCTCTCCGGATGCATCTGTGCCGATCTCTCAGCAGCGCCCGAGGAAGAAACGAAAGCGCCACCAAAGTCTCCAGTTCTCTTGTTTTTTGCTTGCCCCGACATTGCTGTGAAACATGCTCCTAATCTCTCACTGCATCAACAGATGATGAGCCATCCGTAGAATTGGTGCCCGATATATACGAGCAGTGCGATGCAACGTGACAACTGCATGACCGAGAGACTGACTGCTGGCCGTTATGCTCACCACCATCACTCCTCTTGTTTAGATGCCACCCACTGCGGTTATAGCAATACTTGCGCTTGTCTCTCATATCAGGCACTTGTTTTAGTAGTATTACTCGCACGCTTACTCAACGAGCAAGACTATTGAGTGGCAAAGGCGGCACCCTACTGTGCGTATTGGCACGCTTAGAAACGCATACTCTTTTATACTTATACATGTACCCTCGTAAGTCGTGGCGACACGTCAAGATACCGTAGTGTAGTACAATACCCAAAAGGAAACCCATACCGGCTGTGTAGTAATGCCGCAATCCCACGGCAGCCTTTAGCACAAAGGGGAGGCCTGTTGATTAGTATAATTGATTCAGTCAAGTCGTTGGTAGAGCCAGCGAGATCTGCACTTGGGAGCTGGAACAAGGAGCCATCCATGTCTGGACCAAAAAAAAAAGAAGCTTTGTATCCTTTTTTTTTATGAGAATGAGCCTAGGTATTTCCGACTAGGTAGGATGAAGCCCTGCCGGTTGTCGCTACTTGACACCATCGTTTCATGCCGTCGTCACAAGAGGCCGTAATGTCCAGTCGGAACACACCCAAAAGAAAATGACCCGTACCCGTTCACGCCATTGAGAACCTCTACCATCTGCTTTCTTTTCCTCCGCTCTGACCGTCGAAATTTATCGCAGACGTCTGGCCTCACGTTCGGACTCGAGCAGGCAAAGGATGTCGTCCTCACGGACTGTGTAGACAAGTCAGCCAACAATGCCACGGTTCAGCCTAGCCATCGCAGGGTTTCAAACATACCGGGTCCCTTGACGTTTCGGATGATGGAACGGGTCTGGTCGTCCATGAACTCGACACGGACCTGGGTGACACCACCACGAGAGCCTGAGAACGTTTCCGTTAGCCTTTTTATGATTCGATTCCACAGATGCCCCCAACATGTCCCTCGGCCAATCTGCATGCCATGGCGTCTGCAATTTGTTGTATTGTCGACCGCGAGTTTCCCCTTCTTATATTGTTTCCTTTTTAAGAATTGAAACTGAGAATTTTTCCTCCATCTTCCCATGAGAACAATCGAGCGACAACGGCGACAACAACTGCAACGACGGCGACGGCAGGAGACTGGCGAGAGGGAATGCTAGGGCGACAGAGCGAGGTCTCTTCATACCGGTACGGCCGAGAACTCGGGTCACCTTGACGAGCTTGACGGGGGCCTTGCTGCTGGATTCCATTGTGATTGATGTGTGTCCTTGATGGTGAAGGTGTGCAAGAGAGAGTCGAGAGGTTGCGAATCGCGGTAGTCCGTGTGGGTAGCAAAAAGGGCGTATTTTTTTCTCCTTCGGCTGTAATTTTGTGCTATTCGGCAGGGTTTTTTTTTCCTCTTGCACGACCCAGTTCGGTGCGCCAAGCGCGTGGGGCTCTTGCCGGATAAGATCACGTGCGATAACCGAAGCCCCAAGGCCCCAATCTGTTGCCGTTTTGCTAGAGGGGATGCCGGACTATTAGATTTGCCGCTTTACCGGATCTACGAGCCGCATTGCTTAGCGGCAGCTCCAACATTTCATCTGGTGTGCCAGACCTTGCCAAATCGCGACCAGGGGGTCATCAGGATGGGCTATTCCGTCTTCTCCACTCTGTGTCAAGCACATACTCGTACGTCTACGTCTTCGGTGAGAGATACAAAGATACAGAGAGTTTCTCAACTGAGACTGAGGCTGAGACAGCGAATATTAACTCGTACGATGGAAGTATCAAAATCGTTGATGCCTGGAGAGGCTCATGTCCGATCGGCCATTCCCTCCGCAAAGACGGCAAATCGCCGATGATGGTGATGGGTGCTTCTTGTCCGAAGGAGGAGCCCATTCAGTTTCGCAGGTCGCCGATTACACAGCATGGGTTCTTTAAGACAAAATTCTCTTTCAAGAGGTCATACTGCTGGATGCATGACTCCAACACGGGATGACTTCAACACACGGTGTGTCATGTCGTACAGCTGTGAGAAGACCAGATTCACAGCTTGAAAGCATGGAGAGATTGCTGTGCTGCAAGTGAGGGCTTAAGCAAAAGGCCGCTCAGATGGGCGTCTATGCTGCCGTCGGAACTGATATGCTTTGGTGAAAGCTGAATTGTGGCAGAACCATTGATCGATTCAGCTGACAGGGTTATTGGCGATGGCGGCGGCGGCGGCGGCGTTCTTTTCTCTTCTTTTCTTTTCCCTCCCTCCCTTTGCGGTGCTTCCCCTTCCCACCATCACCCCGAAAACCGGGAAATATGCTCCGGATGGTAGGAAACAAGGCACAGAAACGACGCAAGTATAGGTACTTGAGGCCTCACGGATGGGCTATGAGCTTGGTATAATTACTTTGAGACAAGAAATGCGCCACTTGGACCAAGAGTAAGAGGGTCTTATCTCTCAGCCCATCGACATCTCTGCGTCCACGTGTGTGTATAGGCCTACGCCCACCTGACTACCTGTATTGCGGCTCGGCATTCGCGTCTATCGCCGACGGTCAAGAGAAGAAGGCGAGGGAAATAGTAGTCGATTCTCGGGATCGTCCTCTTCCGAGACTTTATTTTCGTGGCGGCTGCTACAGTACGGGCGAGACAGAACAGAAAGAACCTGGCTGTGCACAATCGTGACCACTCCTCTCTCTTCTAACCAGTACAATAGTGCTGGATCCTTGTCCCCTGTTATGCTCGTACGATGACGAATCCATCACTTTTGTTGTGTCTCGGCCGATAGGTCTAAGCGCCATCAGTCACAAATGAGGGACACACCATCTTCTGTGTGTTTGAAACATATCACAGCAGTACCGGGTTTACCGTCCTATGCAAGGCGTGAAAGCGGCTAAACAAAAGGAAAAGGGGCCTAAAAGAATAAGGGGAGAAGGGAAAGAGAGAGAGAAAGAGAGAGAGAGAGAGAGAGAGAGAGAGAGAGAGAGAGGAGTTTGTCTCAAAATTCGGTCAATACAGATGACGTCTGTTCAAGAGCAAATGTGACATCTAATGACAGCAGAACCCATCCCAGCAAGGCAGACAAGGCTCTCAAAACTCTCCGAGCCGGCAACTAGGGAAGCTCCCGGGATAAACACCCCAGCATCAACCGCCCTTTTCGAGTGCCACCAGAGCAGCTTATACTGGATACGAAATACAGTACTACTTCGGATCGGCACATGTGCCACGGCGTTCCTGGGGGGGTTAAAGCGGGAACCACATTGGAACAAAGCACGGCAGCTAACAAATGGGCTTGCTCTCAGCCCGTGGACGGCTCAGGGGAAAGATTTAGGTGGTGTGGATAGCCAGCTGATCATCCTCGATCCATGGCTGGACGCATGTCTCGCCCGCTGAATTAGCTGCACCCGGGGTTGTCCGAAATCTGGAACATGAATCCAAGAACCCGGAATAAGTTGCGCGAAGCCCGTCCAAGGGGCTATATTGCAACGGGAAACAGAATGCTACCTCGGCGGCTGAGTCTTTTTCACCGCAAGAAAAAGCAATGACATGATTCACATCAACACTTGGACAACTGAGACTGTCATATGTGATACTCGTTCTGGGCAGGCTTGTGCATCGCTTAGACTCTTGTCAATACGCCTGACCACTGTCTTTGGTTCCCTACGATATCGGCTACGTTCATTTCAACAAATCGAGATTTTGGGTGATTCAAATTGGACCAGGTTTAAGTAACTGATGTTCACATTGTCCTAAGCGAGCAAAAAGCTACCAGAGCCACAGCCATAGTGCGTGTAACGCATCCTCCAGGCCCCATGCTGAACCATGTTCAGCTCTGACCTCATCCATTAAGGATTGACTCGATGTGAACTCGCCAAATAAAGTCCCTATTTTGTACACAACGCCCTTTTTGGTTGGTATCATAACAATCATCCATTGATAGTAAAAAAAAGCCCTTAGAAGGAGCTTGGCGTTAAACACACGCCATTGTAGAAGAATTAAAAGTCCAAGACGCAGCAGCCAGGGGAATACAGAGGTAGTAGAAACCCTGACTGCTTGTTTCCTTTTTCTTCGCGCCTCAACCTTTCGCCATGCCTAAAGCGCTAAACCATGCTGCCGACAAAACACTAAAGGAAATGAAAATTATCAACATTATAAAAGAGAGTATGGGGGAAACAACAAGTGGTGGAAGGGAGTGTGATATAACGTGTTTAACAATATTAGGATTAAGCGGTTGATCTTGCGATGTGCGTGTTGGTGTAGAATTGTTGGAATAACGGCGGGGGATTAAAACGATTAAAACGAACAAATGAAACAGAGGCCTGGGTCCATGTCTCAGCTGCCAACGGAGAGAAATAGAGCAATGGAAACGAACAAAGGAAACAAGGGCTGGTGGCGGCCGTAACTGTATGTGTAGACGTAAAGGCTGTCGTCGAGTTGCGAAGCCCTGACAAGGCTGTGGGTAAGCCCGCTTGCGAATTCAACATCCATTGGAATAGGGTATAGCAGCCCTCGCCGGACTTATTGGTGGACCTGAAGGGTCCTTTCATCGGGCCATCGTGGGGTGGCAATGCGGCGGTAGATCTGGCCGGGGTTCTGCTCCTCGAGCTCCTTGCACAAGACCTCAATGGCGAGCACCCATCGAGACTGCAGGCGTGACTGGCGGCATTCGAAAACTTGATTGAACTGTGATTCCTCTTGGACGCACTGGGCTTCGAGCCTGTCCAGCGCCTCCTGTCTCTTATCGAGGAAAAGCGAAAGCTCCTCTGTCTGTTTTGCCCGAAGCTCCTCCATCTTGAAAGACTGTCGCTCCCTCATGAGATTGATTTTCGACTCGCGCATGCGACCCATGCCGTCCCGCAAGTAATACTGCTGGCCCAGCTCTCTCAGGTCTCGCTCAGTGACGACTCTGACTGGCGCCGACGAGCTTGGGTTGCGGCCGAGGCCATTGCAATAGGCCTCCATGTGCTTGAGTCGGAGATGGATGTTGAGCTCATCTTGCTCCAGCGTTTCGAGCAGCCCCATCTCGGCGACAACGTGGCGATCTTCTTGCGCAGTACAGGCTCTCTCATGTCTCTCGTGGAGCTTCTCCTCCTGACACTCGTACTTTTCTTCCATCGCAGCCTCTTGCATCAGGTGGCGTGTCTGCAAGGCGTCCTTTCCCTGTGACTTGTAATCCAGGAAACGGCGCAGCTCGTCTTGTTGCTCTTGTCCAAGTTGCTGGATCGACGAGTTGGCTCGCAATCGCTGCTCACTCGCGCAGGACATGGCCTCTTTGCTCTGTCGGCGCCGCTGTAGTTCCTCTTCAAAGCTGCAAAGATTGGGGCATCCAGTCGTGGGATCCCAGATGCCTACGCACACGGAGCAGAAGCGAGCCTTGCATCGGCAGGTCATGTATGGAGAGTCCTCAGTCGGCTCAACCAAGGCTCTGCACTCGTAGCATCGCTTCCAGTTTCCCTTGTCTTGCTGCTTCTTCTTCAATACGGCCAGTTCCCAATCTTGGGGGCAATCTTCGCCAATGGGATGGGCAGTCCCTTTGCATATAACACACACGCGGCCGTTGCATTTGAAGCAGGTGAGATCGAATGGGTGCTTGGGGTCATGACCGTCCTGGGACGGAATAAAGTGGCCGCAGGCTGGATCTGGGCAAAAGATTCGTTCCTCGACAGGCGTGCTGAGCTTCAGAACTGCCAGCAAAAAGGTCTCCTGAGCTTCCTGGTTCAGGATTGTCCTGACAAGGGGGGCTGCGAGGGGCTGAGAGCAGCAGCGTGGTGGCATTTGGGACTCATGCTCAACGGCTTGGTTTACCAAGTTTCTCACGCAGTCGACGCAGTGCATATGGCCACAGTGGAGCTTGTGCAACGCGCCTGATTCTGCTCCAAAAATCTTTCGACAGCTAATACATGGGCTATATCGGAGTATTGAAAAACGGCTTGTCAGCTTATCGTTTCATCACGGGTGAAAAGCAAGGAGTAACAGCCCTGTACAGGACAATGCTTGTAGTAGACGTAAGGGAGCCTTACATTTTGTTTTCCACGGGTTCAATTGTCTTTCTCTTCCAGCGCAGGCGGTCTCTGAAGCTCGCAAAATTCCCCTTTTTGGACCCAACACTGGTCAGGCTCTGGGCAGAGCCATCGTTAACAAGAAGTGGCACTCGAGGAGGTTGAATCTGAGTGCTAACGAGGTCCATGGAGGAAATGTATCGCTCGTAATGGGAAAATGTAAGGCTGTTGTTGGAACCTCGCCTTCCTCCAGACCCAGTATCGAATAGAGAACACGGAGATCCAAAGACGGAGGAGTGCGGCGTCAACGCAGAGCTGGCTGACCCGTTGGAGGCATTGGAAAAGGTTCGATCTTGCTGGGTCCCGAATGACGAGACCGAACAGCTGCTGGCGGGATGTCGTTTGCTAGCCACGGACGGCAGAGTGGCGGCGATGCCTGCAGCGTTTGCCCTCGCGACCAGCTCTTGGTCTGCCTGGGCTTCGGTTTTGCCCACAGGCAACTGAAGCACCTCTGCAAAGTACTCCGAGTCGCTGAGCTCAGGGATGGTGAAGGATTCCGTCTCCGGCATGGCTGGAGGTTCGAGAGAGGGCGATATGGGGTCTGACAATGGGTCCATTGCCGTGCCCAGAGTGTCTGTCCAGCTGATGCAGGGAGGATGTTATATGATGAGATGAAAGCAGTGCAAAAACAGAGAGATCAAAAAGTGGGCGATGGGGGGGGATGTTCAGGGGAGAAGAGGGAGAAGAGCGTTGGAGAGGTGGAAGAAGAAGAAGAAGAAGAAGAAGAAGTGCCAGTGCCAGTGCCAGTGATATGAAGACGGTCAGTTGGGAAAGGGCAACAGAAGCAGGTGCCTCATACAAGCAGCAGCCAGGGTTTTCTTCAGGACACGGACAATGGGGCCATGCATATATAGTATGGACATGTGCTTGGGGTATGCAAGGCGGTACCTCCCAGCTAACGCACAATGACATCGGCCGTACCTTGGACGCCTACAGCTTGTATTACTGTACTCGGTGGGCAGATTATGATCGTGAGAGGCTGTAGCAGGAGAGAATGTGCAGGTATTTGCTACTCGCGGGCCAACAAAGAGATGCATATGGGCAGCAGGCGCACCAGCAACGCCAGGGAGGTACAGGTACTTTATTTGCTCGCACACGCTGGGTGCCGACCGCCCATGGCCCAGCAATGGTAGTAGTACATACATACATGGCATGATCCCGACCCGCAAGAGATTTGATGGGTGTGGGTATCAGAGCTGTCGAGAGACAAGCGATTTAGATCCGGTTGTGGTTCCCGATTGGGTAGTGGGGATTTGCATCTTGGAGGTCGGGAGTGAGATTGGAGAGCAGGGATTGAGCCCTGTGATGCAATTGCCAGCTGTCAGTGGGCACTCTTGTCTTGGAACTCGGGCTTAAGTTTGGGGGAGGACGAGCGTACGAGCAGAAACTCGGGATGTGTCTGTCCGGAGGCACAGAGGACAAGGGTTCTTCCAAGACAGGGTCTCGGAGAAACGACGATCCAGGCTGTGAAGAGGGAAGGGCATGAGGGGGGAGGGATACACGAAATTTGGATTAGGAACAAGAGGGAAAGGAAAGGAAAATTAAAAAAAAAAAAAAAAAAAAAAAAAAAAAAAAAAAAAAGGGCAAAACAAAAAAGAGAGGGCAGAGCTCGTAAAGGGGGGGTGAGTTGAGGGCCAGGGCAAGGGTAGAGGATATCAAAGATGATGCGACCAACACGATGCAAAACAAGAACACTGCAGATTGATAGAGGAAGCGAGGCAACTCTGTCCTAACAAGACGAAAATCATTTCAATTTTTTCCCCTTCTTCTTCTGTAGTTTGTACGAGTACTACGGAGTAGTGGAGGGGGGGAAGCAAAGAGAGCAGAGAGCTTGCTAGGATGGGATAGGACAGACTGTGAAGCACCGATTCCCAGGCTATGCGACGGGACCCGAGTCGATGCCGCTAGTGCATCTCGGTGAAAGTGATTGTTTGTGATATCTGAGAAAAGAGGATGGTGTTGGGCGCGACTCTATTCGGCCGTCTATGCAGAGGGGGGTGGTAACACTGACAATGAATCACACTAGCATAGACAGCGAGGGAGGGAGGAAATCTGCCGATGCCCTATGAACAGCGAAAATAGACATAAAAATAAAAAATACTACATCCGCGCAGCCCTCGGCGGCAGGCCGCGCAAAAGGGCGGGCGAATGGCGGCTCAAGCATTGTGGCCGACTTACTTGATTGAGACCGCTCGGTGCCACAGAGATTGGCTTTGAAGTTTTGAGGCAGCGTAGCTCCCGATGACGAAAGTACTGTACATACTACCTGGGTATATTATTACGAGCTGTACATGTTGGGTGCTCCCTAACCATCCATTCGCATTCAACAGTGCTGTGCTCCAGTCAGTACTGCTATTGAAATCTTACGTACAAACATCAATTGTCAATCATCGACAAGTCATGGAGTTGTGCCGATGGATCCTGGGTACAGGTACCAGGTAGGTCCGGAGTAGAGGTACGAGCAGTACCTGTACATCAAATGGACGTCGATGCGACAACTTGAGCTGGCGAGTATCAGGTAACCTGTGCTGTACCTGAGGTATACTGTCGGTGTACGTGTACCTAACCTTGCGCGCCTGCCGTCTCGGTGGTTAGGTTAGGGCTCCAGAGGCGAGTTGGCACAGTGGACAGCACCTGCCCTCGCTGAGAGCTCCTGAGACCAGACCAAGGGAAGGAAGGAACCTTGGAAGGAGGTTTGCCCACACACAGGATTTGGATTTGTTTTTGGATTTGGATTTGGATTTGGATTTGGATTTGATTTGATTTGATTTGATTTGATTTGATTTTGATTTTGATTTGAATCTCTGCATTTCCCTCTATGAAAAACAATCCTGCAACACACGCGTTGGACATTTCAAATTCATCTCTGACCATGCTATAACATTGACTGTACGCTGCTGTACCCTTGCAACCCGCATCGACAAGCCCAACACCCTTGGACGATACGAGTTACTCGGCGGTTCTCTCTCTCTCCTCCTCGCAACGACATCGGCTCTGCTGCAGCTCGACGGGGATTTTTTTCAGCCAGCCAGCCACCCTGGACTTTTCCTTAGTCTCCTCTGGTCCCTCTCGGCTGCTCTGGGCCGCTCCGGCTGGCTGGATAAATGGGATGGATGGATGGATGCCTGGCTGGCTGGCTGGCTCTGCTCCCCATTCTTCGATTCACTGCCCCGGCTATCGTGTTACAAGCACAAGCACAAAAGTGTGGATGACAGGTGCAGATTACATGATGGATGGCCAATATTCTCCCTGGAGTGACAAAACATCAGTCTCGGCGGCTCCCTAACCCAGGCCGTGCCGGGGGGGGGGGGGGGGGGGGGGGGTTATGCCGTGCCCCGGTCACCATTGGCGCTCTTTTTCCTTTTTCTATTCCTCTCGCTCTGGTTTGTTTCGAGCCATGTAAGAGGATTACTTCGGACTTCGTTTAGACACGCAGTATGGAGCCCAAAGCTCGACTCGGTCGGCTACGTTGCACACAACCAAGACACATTTGCGAGCTGATCTCATCTCCAGCACCGCCAACACCACCCTTCAGTGCTTCCGAGCCCGCGCCTTAGCGTCCAGTGCCGTGGTGCTTGCCCGCCAGATGGCCCATCGCCATAGTTCGCCGCTACCCTCCATCTTGGCCGAGGCGGATCGTCGAGCAGTCTGTATGCAAGTCAGGCCCTCTAATTGGCGTCGCTCTCCTGCCCTGCATACCACTGGTCACATTTCCCATCCGCCTCGCACACACCAAAGAGGACCAGCTTTCTCTCTCCGTTGACTTACATCAAAAAAAAAAATTCTCAAGTGCGAGAACACGAAAATCTGGGGCACAGGAACCACCTGTTTGATTCAAGCTTTGCCCACCCATGACTGATGGCACTCGTCTGCTGGCATGACACGACGACGCAGCTTGTGATTTTGGGTCCCCCGGATGCAGAGCAGCCCAAGTCCAAGAATAAGCACCCACCGATTGCCACTCTTTCAGTCTTGGGTACCATCATCTGGGCAGGATGGCCGCCGCAGCCGCTGAAAGGGGACGAGCTAGTAGGTCCACGACCGCTGGCCCATCACGCGCACAGATTATGGTTACAGACGTCCAATTGTCCATGACATGCCACTCACTGAGGCTGGTACTCGGGGGAAATCAAGCACGGCAGGCATGACGACCCCCCAGCTCCTGTCACTAGCGGTATTTGCATTACCGAGCATACTATATGCAGACGCACATGCGAGTACGCTCACTCTAGACTCTGTACGCTCTCACCTTGTCAATATCATCGACACAGCTACGAGTACGGAGCACCAGTGCCAACATTGCCACCGCTCGACCCAGACCGGCTGCTCTGTCTTCCGTGTGAAGACCCGGTGGTACTACCCTCTCTATGCTCCGTATTACAGGACGTATGGATTATACTACTCCCCGTCATTCTCGTCGAGAGCCCAGACCCATCATGAATGGGTATATGATCGGCGAAGCAGGGGAGCGGGATAGGAAAAAGAAAAGTTTTTCAAGGGGGGGGGGGGGGAATCAAACATTGCTGTACAAGCCTATGCTCATATGTGGACTCCTCACCCTCCCAATTGGATCATCCAACACTCCGGTTCGTGTGTGTTGACACGGCAGCAGGGTGCCCGAGGGATGCAGCTCAAACTTCACTCCACCGCCACAATCGAAAAAGCAACAGCTCATCGTTACACCACAGACTAGTATTACGGGATCTAAATTACCATCCGCGCCAAATGCCCCCCAAAGTACAGTTACTTGTGTAGGCCAAGATCGTCCGGCAGTCCGTGATCACCGGCTGCTGCTGCGCACGTCCCCTACAGATGAGCGGACGGGTGAGGCCCCTCAGATCTGCCCTACGGAAACGATCCAGCCAACCGGCCGTGCTGTCCAGTTTCGTGTTGGCAATATCTACCAACGAATCTCCATATTGACCGCCAGAGATGAGCCTTGCAATGGTAGGGCTGCTCCTTGGTGACCTGGCTCTAAGCCATCTCTCATCCGCCGTGGAAAGTTTGCCCGCCTGCTTGCCTGTCTTTCTTTAGCTTCGCCTACTTGGAGCCTGGGCCAATATTAGTACTCGTAAGTCCTTGGCACATCTGGCCCTAGCAGCCCCCCGGCTTCGTTTAGCAGTGGCGCCAGGAAACAAGGCGGTATGCTCCGTACTCCGTACATGGTGAACTGGGCCTTTCCGACGGGCTTGATCGACGGACCAGTGGGGCAGCCTGTCTAAACACCCTTTATTACAAGTATTGCAATGCTTGGCCAAGCTTAGAGAAAGCAGATGGCGGTAACACTGCTGCTCATACAAGGTCAGCACCATGGAGAGAGAGAGAGACACACACACGCACAGGTTTTGTTATTAGGCCGATTAGACCGAACACCGGGAATCCCATCCGGTCTTACCTGGCTCTCATTACAAGCGCCGTCATCTAAGCGATAAGTCGTAAAAAATGGAGCTGAATCTGAATCATATTGCAGCAAGTACGGACCAGAGAGGTCACAAGGACCTCGATATTTGCAAAGCTCATGTATCAGATCTTTCAGGCCGCAAATCCACCTTTATGAATGCTACATTTTCTACTCCGGGAATTTGGGATTACACTGACGCCTGACCGTGCATCTAAGGGCCCGTGTCTCAGCCGCCGCACTGTCGTTTTTGAGCCGCTTGGGTGCAACTTCTTGACAACAAGTGACCGCCTACCTAGGAAGCAGTCACCTCTACACAAGAGTTGGTGCCTCTTGGCCGATGGCTTTGCCGATAAGGACAAGAGCCAAAAAAAAAAAGAAGAAAAAAGAAAAAAAAGCCACCGGGGCAAGGCACTCCGGTGTCATTTGAAACCCAGCAAGTTAGAGAATGGAGGCTTGTGAGGAGGCGTTCGGGGCGCCACTGTACCAAAGATCTAGACCAAGTCCCGCTCGAGTCACCAGCGCCTACCCGGCAGCCTCAATCAATGTGTCGTCGTCAAGGGAAAATCTACGTTGGAGACCCGAATACCAGGATGCAATAGCAGTACGGACGACTTGTACAATAGGACGAACCTAGGTACCAAGAAAGTGTATAACCTTAAACGTAGAATCGGTGTGGAATACCATAGGGCATCTGGAGATGGATCAAAATGGCGACTTGCTCCTAATCTACCCGATCGACAGCTGCATAATCTCTCGGTTGAGAGAGTTGGCAGCAGAGAGTGTTCAAGCTTGCCTCTCTCGTCGGTTGTAGCTCTATATCCTACTTAAACTACCATCTGTCATCTTCTGCCCTGGACATGGAGGACGCAGCATCACGGTTGTAGAATGGTGATTTCCTCTCCTGGCTACGGGAGCACCGATGCTACCGACAAACTTCCTTATCATCGAATGGAACATTTTCTCCACTGTGTGTGATGGTGCCTTGATACTTGAATAACTCCGTTGGCGAAGCCGCCACCCTCTTGCATCGAAGTACTTTGGAGGAGGACTTCAAAATAACAACGACAATAACACTGTAAGAGTACGTATAAGTGAGTTGAGAGATTCTAAATGACATGACCGAATACCGGGGCTTACTGACCAGGCTTATAGGGCAGATATCGGTACCCCCAGAGCCTGGCCCAATAATCCAAATCGTTGCGGAACTTGTTGTCCACACAACTGTCAGGCAAGAGTCTAATCAGATGAGGTAGATATGGGCCTCTCGATGGAAAATCCCCTCAGGTTCCGACGCTTTGAAACCCAAATTGATTCCATGTTCCCAAAACTGACCGCGGTTTGCTGACTACTTGCCTGCACTATGGAGTTGAGGGGGCATGTTGAACTCCTAACATCGACCAGCTACAAGCAATGTTCATAACTTTTTACCTGCAGAAATGTTGACCATAGTATCGGTTTATGGCAGATATACGTCGTGCACCTGGATTTGTCTGCTCACACTCAGCACACAGAAGAGCCGACTGCGCCTTTGGTAGAGGGTAGTTGCTTACGTCTACGAGAGGCATCATGCAAAGCGGCACTATGGGTAAGACTATGTCCAAAGATGGCTATGAAAAAGACGAGAGGCACGTTTAGAGCTGCACCTCATAGGTTCGTGATCTTCTCTCTCTCTCTCTCTCTCTCTCTCTCTCTCTCTCTCTCTCTCTCTCTCTCTCTCTCTCTCTCTCTCTCTCTCTCTCCCTTTGGACCAGTCATATCACACTGCTTTGCCTCCATGCTTCTGCATTTGTCACCCGAAATGACTGCGTAGAAAGCATGGAGGGAAGAATGCTATCGTGATGGCAAGTACTATCAGAAGAGTTACCACTAAAATCTCGAGGAGCCTTTGGTCTCCGAGAAGATGCCGCCATCCATGACTTGGAGACATCACTGATTACAATGCCTCCCCGATATAGGTTACTTTCTCGGCCTCCTGCGTAATGCGGATGCCCAGAGCAGGCCTACAAAGTCATTCAAGGGTCTATACATGATGAAAACGAGACTTGAATAATACGCGTTTGTGGGCTTGGAAATAATTTGCAAGCCCCGAGTCGTTGTTGATTGAGCCATTTCAATATCCATAAGAACACACCCAAAGTCCAGTTGGGCAAGCCTTGACAACCTTGCGAGATTCCAACAACCTCCAAGTGCCCAGTTTAGCACTCTGAATACAGCTTCTCCGTTAATTACAATGCGCTTCTGTTCCTTACTGTAGCATGGGTTAGTAGTATGTACTCATGTTCTCAAGAGGCTCTCGGCACGACCCGCACTTATATGCGCGGCTGAGCCCGCTCGGCGCTTATTCACAGCTCTCGGAGGTTACACTTGCACGTCTTTCTGTGTGCCCATAAGCAAACAAGCTACATAGGATCTGAGAGAGAAGAGCCTTGTTCCAGAGAGTGCCTATTACGAATTCAAAGAGGCTACCTCAAGAGGCTACCACAGCCACCCCTTTGTTCAAGTATGTTCAATGTTGTCTGCGGTCACTTCCTTTGACGGTCCAGTGTTAGTGGATACCACGTTCGGGCCATCCGCCCAAGTACCTACCCAGTACAGTATCTAGCATCCGCTACTGGCGCCGCCAGCAGCTTCTCCATACTCGGGGCAAGTACTCCTGTATACCGCGCGCGCAACAAGAGACACGGCCGGCGCCAACCAACAAGGTCACCAGCACCAGCACCAGCACCAGCACCAGCACCTTGAAGGTGAACCTTGAGCTGACGGAGGCCCCCGCAGGCCGAAAGCCACTGGAACTGTAACTTGCCCAGGTACGCACACACTTACGAGTTGCAAGGAAGGGAGCCCGTCATCCTCCTCATCTTCAACCCTCAACCCTCAACCCTCAACCATCACCATCACCGACGGCGATCGGTCTTTGGTCTCTCTTCCGCGGTCGCTGGACTGTCGCGTTGGCTGCTGAACAAGGGCCTCGGCACTGCTGCGATTCGGCATTCGCGCATGAACCCGACCATCTCGTCGCCACTACAGCACAAGCACAGGCTTACACCGGCTTGACACGACTGCATTTATTTACATACCCATCGCCCACCATGGCCGACCTGATCGACCCGACGGCAAAGGGCAACTATCCCATCATCCTCGGCGATGGCTTGCTGGGCAAAACATCCAACGAGATCTTCACTGGCATTCGCTGTACGTCACCCTTTGCTCGAGAGAATCCAGACAAGCGCCTGCTAACACGCCAGCTACTGCGCTGCGCAGATAACCACAAGCCGTCCTTCCCCGCGTCCGACGCACGATTAAAACCCTCTCTTCCCGGAAAGACGAGCTCCTACGACTTGAACTTTTCCAACTCGGACGGCACAGTCGGGTTTGCCGGAACGCGCTCGACCGACGACGACGACTATGTCTTGTGGTTTGACCCCGAGCGCAAGGCGTTTATCCTTGACAAGGTCGACTCGACGTTTAACATGAATCTCACGCGTATCCCGGGAAATAGCAACCCGGAGGAACTGCGGCGGCGATATCCTCACCTGGAGAACGGCCAAAAGGTGGGAGACAAGAAGAGCGCAGCAGGCAAGGACAGGCTCAAGTCGACGCCAAAGGCCGATGAGAAGAGCATCACCGTCCAGACCAAGGAGATGCAGAAAAAGTTTGACAAGAAGCACCTTGACAAGAAGTCTTCCGACAAGGTGTTTCTCGAGAAGAAACCCCTGGTGGAGAAGAAACCCATCGACAAGAAACCGCTGCTCGACAAGAAGGCCGCCGTCGACAAGAAACCCGCCGTCGACAAGAAGTCCGCCGTCGACAAGAAGCTGACGGATAGAAAACCGACGGATAGAAAGCCGACGGATACAGACAAGCGTACGCCGGAGAAGAACCAGACGGAGAAGAAATCATCAGTAGACAAAAGACCGACTGAGAAGAAATCGTCGTTGGAGAAGAAGATGTTTGAGAAGAAACAGTTGGGAAAGCCGCTTCCCAAGAAGATTGACCTTAAACTTCCCGTGCCGGAACCGCCCAAGCCATCAGAGCCCAAGCCTCGAAAGAAGAAGGACGAGGATGAGGACGAGGAAGACGAAGACGATGATGGTGATCTTCTCATCGAATACCCGGGCGCAGAGGCCCCGGCTAGACAGACTCATTTCTCGCCGGCCTTCCCTGCCCCTCGGCGCTTCGATGACTTCATGGACCAGCGTGAATCCGAAGTGGAGGAGGAAGAAGAGGAAGAAGAAGAAGCAGCAGCAGAAGAAGAAGAGGATGGTACGATGGATGATGTTGATTTTAAGCTTCCTAGCCCGGTGAAGCATGCTAGCCAGAGCCATTCAGAGCCCATGGAAATAGATGAAGAGGAGGAAGAGGGAGAAGAGGATGGGGATGCAGAAGCAGGAGGGGCCAACGATGCTGCCGATTTGGAATATGACTTGGAACAAGAACTGGAGAATGCGTTTGAAAAGTTGGATAACAACGATCAAGACAACGGCTACTATTACAGCAACAACAATGCCAACGACGATGACGAAAGCGAAATTAGTGAGGAAGATTAGACGCGGCTTTGGCGGGCCAGACCAAAAATGGCTTCTTGGGCTCAAGGGGGGAAAAAAAAAAGAAAAGGACAGGGAATGGACTTGTTTTGCCATGACTTTCAAGTGGGATTCAAGATATTTGATTCATTGGGTTGGGGCGGCGTTTATTCGAAACGGGACAGCTACATGACGCTGGATACCGCGAGCGAGAATGATTGGGTTCTTTTGACTTGTTTCTTTCATTCATTCATTTCTTCTTCCTCTATTTTCTTTCTCATGCCTTATTCTTATATACATCAAGTTTTCCGGGTCCAAAGAGGAATAGATAGTGTTACTTAACAACAAACCTTGAGACTTTACTCATTCATCGTCCTGTGCAAACCTCTGGCCCGCCAAATGGTCCGTCACGCCGGCCACCTCCCTCTCACAGAACAAATGCCGCTTGGCCGCCGTCAAGAGAGGCCCGTAGCGTGCCAGAGCCGGCCCGTCGAAGCAGCCCACGGTGAGGCAGGTGCAGTCGCGGTTGTCGCGCTGCCAGAAGAGAAAGCTGCCGCAGTTTGCGCAGAAGCCGCGCTCGCAGTGCGGCGTGGCCGAGTAGACCTTGAGCGTCGACTGGGCCGTGTATTGGACGGCGGACTTGGGCAGCCTGTGGGAGCGGAAGATGAGGGAGCCGGTGTTTTTGCGGCACTGCTCGCATTGGCATGTGGTGCACTGTGAGTGTGTGAGTTTCTATATATATATGATCGTACATGTCTTGTAGATATTTTGTAGATGTAGTGGGTTGAGATGTCTGTCTGCCGAGGTTTGGTGGATGGAGGAGAGATGGGTTTGAAAAAAACTCACGCTGTTGGCAAAGTCGTGGTCCGGGGGAAACGTCACGGTGTAGCGGACTGATGCGCAGACGCAGCCGCCTGTGATTGTCTCTGGTTTGTCGGTTGAGGACATTTTGATGGAGGGTGGTGTATTCTCTTGTTTTGCGTAGGTAGTTGTTGAGGCCAGCTGTTGTTGTTGCTATACTATCGCGGTCGTTGTACTACGTAAAGAAACGTTTGTTTAGAGATGATGAAAGGGGCGTCAAGTTGAGAAACATGTCCAAAGTATTTATACACAAGGGCGTCAGTGATGCTGGAGCCTTGTCAACGGCGCCTTTCATGGATCCCTAGCTTTCTGGGCTCTCAGCGTCATGTTGATGCTGGTGTGGCGGGCGCCGTCGTGGGCAGATCGTCAAACTAGCGCTTGATGCTGAAGTGGCTGCTTGCTGGATCGACGCCATCCAGAGCAACAGGTCTTGGCATGTGAATGATGTGAATTACCTAGGCAAGGAAGGGCATGGAGAGATGGTGGTAATGCAGCGCTTCTTGGGAATGATCAACTACATACAGCTTCTGGCTTTCCACTCTAGAAAACAAAAAGACATCATCATTTCGTAATGGCAGCACCATTTGCATTTCCATAGAGATGCATCGAAAACAACGTACACACACCATGTCCAACCACCACCGTTAAACAACCTCCCATCTCGCAATCCAGCCGACATTCTCGCCGGCGTTCCTCACAATGCACAGCCTTCCCTCCTTGGCGTTTGCCCTGACGTCTGGCAGCACCTTCTCCACGGCTATGCTCCCAATGGCGGTGCCTCGGCCGTTGGCCAGGCAAAACGACCCCGTGGTGACGAAGCCGATGAGGTCCTCCGCGTTGGGCACGAGCGGATGGTGTCCTCCGATATCGACCTCGTTCGGTGCCGGGGTGCCGTCCAGGCTCGGTGGAGCAGCGAGGAGCTCTTGTGCTAGAAGGCGTTTTCGCGTCTCCATGTCGTCTAATCGAGACGCCGTCCTTCTCTTGGGCTGAGATTGGGAAGACGATGCAGACTTTGGAGTTGAAGACGATGGCATGCGTGACAGCCACTGTGAACGAAGATCCGATGGGAGAGATGTCGCTTCTGGAGGTATGCTCGCGGGGACTTCTGCGTCGGACGAGGGTGGTATGGAGGTGGGAACAGACGGGAGGCGGTATATTCTCGCGCATGGGCTGACAACGCCTCGTGAGAGGAGTGCTATGCGGACACAAGATATTGCGTTTGGAGGGAGGGGCTGAGTAGTCGGGGATGGCGACACAAGACTGTTGAATGAGGCCTTGGGGATGCTACTCAACAGCTTGAGGTATGGCATGTCGTCGTTCTTCTTTTCGATGGGCGCTGAGCCTTGGCCATCAACCTCCATTGCTTCTCCCAAAGTGCCGTCCGGCGAGGCTCTCGGGCCCTTGTTCTGCTGCCGTGTCGGCTGCTGTACAAGACCAAACAAGTATTCAAAGTCGCAGGCGTGTCCATCCCCAATCTCGCCCTGTCGCCCTGCGCCCAGGTTGAGGGACGCCCACTCGACCCTCTTGCTTTTGGGGCGTCTCGCCCACTCCCTCTTTCGCCTCCGTCTCTGCTCAAGCTCCCATTCCGCCCCAGCATCGGTTCCGAGAAAGTCAGCTGGGAACCACGCAAGGTTGCGCTCAAAGGCAACTTGCATTGTCTCGCTCAGCCCTGCAAACCGCGGGTTGCCACCTGAGACCAGCGGGCAATGAACGATGCTGTACCACAGAGGGAGGATGCACTTCCAGGGCGCAAGGAGAGTCCACGTTCCTTGCGCCCGTGTACCTGCTGCAGAACGCGAGGCAATGAGAGTGATGGGAACGGGAGGGTCCAGGCTTGTTGGCTTCAACAGAGCCCCAGACGTGACTTTACTCCTCCTTCTGTTGATGGACTTTTGAGACGGCAAACGTGAGGCCTTGTGACGAGCATGTCGGTCGAATAGAAGCGAGGGCTGCAGGTTCTCTTCAGCGGGCCACTTGGCGATTGTGGTAAATAATTGTGTCTGTGCCTGTTCGTTCTCGGGAAACTCCATCCTCCGCGGCGGGTATCTCAACCGAGGATCTTGGGCTGTAAAGTTTAGAATTGAATTGTGCGGTAGGGCTGCCGGATTTGTTAATCCCTTTAATGACTCGAATAGCTCGGCATGCTTGTTCTTTGGGCTCGACCCAGACGGGTACGCCGCCAGGACAGATAGCAGTGTCTCGGTGGAAGCAGGTCCGGAGAGCTCAATGCTCCCGATTTCGAACCGCAGGTCCTCAATGTATAACCGGGGGTTTTCCATCTTTGTCAAGCGTAGCAGCTCATTGAACAGCTCTAGGAAAGCTGAAGGATGGACCCTGATGAATACCCGTCTCTGCGTCTTTTTCTCAGCCCCGTCTTGCTCCATCTCACCCTCTCCCTGATCTTGCTCGGCGTTCTGTGACTGTGACTGTGACTGTGACTGTGACTGCGACTGTGGCTCAGGGTCCCAAACGATGGTCGACTGGCACATGGGCCGCTGAACCCCGACTCTCTCTCTATTCAAGATGCCAGTCCACGCTCTGGTGCCCCGCCTCCATTTACTCCCTCTGTCGTCCCAGCAAGAGTCGTGCGTCACTCCGACCCTCTGAAGGACTCTCCTCATGCCGGCAACGTTTCCGTATAGACCAATCGTGCTCATATAAGTCATGTCCCAAACCATGGTGCCGCGCTCTCCCTGCGCCCTGTGTGTCGGCCGATAAATCTTCTCGTTTGGCGTCAGCGGAATGGCGAAGCGCCACAAGGGCTCCTTGGGTTCCGTCATGCGAGCCCTCTTTGCATGCCATTGATGCGTTGGCAGCCAGGTTTTGTTCATCTGGCGTTTTCTGAACTTTGCAGGCGGCTTCGGCGGTTCGTTGAGCGCGTTCCTCCGTATCTTGGGTCTGGGAGCCCTTCCCACAACACCAACGTCTTTGGCCGCCTCCTTTGGGTCGTGCTGGTTATTGTCGTCGGTCTTGCTTTGCTTCCTCTTCCTCTTCCGGGCCGCGAGTATCCGAAGTCTCTTGGCCATCTGAGCTCGTATTCTTGCCCTCGTCGTCCTTGGCTTCCTTCTTCGCGACTCAACCAGGGGAGTGTTGTCTTCGGCCATCTCCCTTCCGGCCCTTGCCCGCAGCCTTCGAGGCACCCGCTTGGGATTGTGACTCGCTGTCCGTCTTCTCATGCCGCGGGGCACCTGTTGGAAAGCCCTGCTGCTCCCCACTGCCTTGGACGTGGCCATGCTCTGTTCCAAAGCGCGAATCTCAAACTCGTGAACAGCCACAAAGGCCACCAGGTCCAGCTCGCCATCCTTGAGTGCAGCGTCGGCAGCCTGTGAGGGGATGGTGCGTGCGGCGTGAACCTTGGCGCGCTTCTGCATGAACGCATCGCTTCGGCCGTTGGCAGCGGGAGCGCCGCGCTTTTTGGAGGCCGGACCGGATTGTCCGCCTGTGGCATGATTCGAGGCCATCGAAACGGCGAGCTGGCGAGCTTGTGCGAAGCCCAATTGCGTCCTCAAACACGGTTTTTTTTTTTGTGTTGTCGCGGTGATGCTTTGGAAAGGCCTGGGAAACTTTCTTGGTCAAGTTGCGTTATCGATAAGCGCGGCAGTGAGCTACCTAGGTAGGTATGGATGCTTTTTGGTTGGGTGAGTGGAATGGCAAGCTACAGGGACCTATAGGTACTGGAAGAGGTGCTTGTTCAACCATTCTTTCTGTTGTATTAGTAGGTAACCTCAATCACAAATTGATGCGTAAAGTACAGGTATACATGAGTTTTAGACATATTGAGAGCTTTAATTTATTGTATTCTCATTTTCTTTTTCTTGAATAATTTACAAACCCCTTCAAAATCGTGCTCTTTCCTTAGTAGAGGTACCTACTAGGTAGTAGTAAAACGATAGAGACGATACGGCGTTTCTCCATGACATCACTCTTTGTTACCTAGTAGTACTTGGGACACCCTCAGTTTACCACCAATAAAGGTATTTTATATTCCAGACCCAGGGGAAAAACTTAATTGCGCCGGTTCCATCCGAGTTTCATCGTTTGACTACATGTATCTTTGTTGACTCTCGTTGCTATTGACACCGCCCAGCACCTATACATGTTCACTTCCACATACATTGAAGGTTTTGCTCCATTAAACTCTGAGCTGTCCTTTTACTGAGTTCACCGCCTTGAAACCATCGCTAAAGCCTTTGTAAAAATAATTTTGCCCACCTCCATTTCCCTGGCAACTAAAGTTTGGTTCTGAATGCTAAACCGCATCGCCCGCGCTTCTACCCTCCTCCAACTTTTTCAACAATTCATCCCAGAACATCTACCTATCTATCTGCTGGATATCCAACCGATTCACCAACCTCGGTTTTTCTTCTTCCTTTTTACAAATTTCATAATCTATACCACTCATATTAGCTTGTTATAGCCCGAGCTCCCATTTTGAATGCAATCTATTTGACCATCGCACCGCAGCATCGCTCACTCACTCACGCAACAACCACCATCTCTCTCCTCTGCATCCGGGACATCATCCCTGTCAACGACGCTACCAACCGCAAATACGAATCGGCAGAACCGGGTTCGGATTTATAGCGACCTCATCCCTGAAAGCTACGCGTATCCTGTTTCATTACGCTCCGTAGCCCGCCAGACAGGAGATCCGTGTGTCCACGACAGCTGCAGCTCATCTCTAATACCACCTCATCTACCAGGCAAAAAGGGGGCACACAACAGATGGTGAGCAGCATTCCGCATTCCAGAGTCTGCTAGCGCTCAGCTTGCCGTCCCGTCGTCCGTCTTCCAACCGTCCATCGTCCTTCGTTCGGCATTCTTCTTCTGGCCCCCGGCCAACTGCTTCCTCCACCCCCACGCCCCCCCAGCCGGTCAACCGCATATCGTGTCTCGAGGTTTGCTGACCCAGAATCTCCCTTCTCTGCGGTTAGTCGTTACCGGTTCGCGCCAATTAGCGTGTTCGCGCCGCGGAGCTTCAGTTCCAGTTCCATAATTCTTGCTTCCCTATCTGCAGCATCCTGCAGCATCAAAACCAACTCATACTAGTGAAACCGCCTAGGCCTTACCGGCACTGGCTGCTTGGTTATTATTAGCCGTGGCCTCGTCTGGCTACACATGTCTGCCTTGAGTAAGCCCGACTCTCCCGCTTGTCGTATTGGTGAACTATCACGGCCCGAATGGGCATGACTGCCTACCACGTCTCCGGCAGCCTTTTCAGTGGCCGTGGCCCCTGTCACATTCCTTCCTTCGTGCTCATACCTTTTCTTGTTGTTGCTGGATAAGCACTGTCTCGTTCTCTTCAAGTCGATCGTTTGCTCGAGTGAGCTTGTTGGACGCGATTCGTCCCTCTGTCCGGCTCATCCGGAAGACTCCGTCTCGCGGTAGATATTTCTGCCATAGCAATTGGCTAACATGCCTTTTTTCCCTACAGTTGGTAAGGGGCGCAAGGTGAGGCAATTCGATGCCCTTTTCTGTCCATCTCTTGGCATATCACTAACGGCGTTCTGCTTTGTGTCTAGCCCAAGTTTGAACTTCATCTCAAGGTAAAATTATTATCATTATACGACACTCAATTTCATCTCGAGTCCATCTGATCACTCTTTTGGCTAACACCGTTTTCTCGGAATGGCTAGATCTATGATTTGAACAATGTGCCTCTCGTTTCCGGAACATCTTTTATCAAATGGCATCTCACCCACTCTATGCATGCCGAGCATCGCGGCCGCACTCCCAAAGCCGCCATTGCCAATCATCGAGTGGAGTACAACTTCCAAAAGATGATAGCAGGCGTGCGCATGTCCGTCGACAAGAACAACAGCCTCAATGAGTGCCAACTGGAACTGGAGATTGTCCAAGAGTTTGCGCTTACGGAAAAGATCACCCTTGGTACTATCAAGATTAACCTCGCTGAGTTTGTTGAGGAGAGTGAAAACTTCCTGCGAGACCCTACATCACCAGTCTCATCCAGAAGACGGACCAACAGCGCCGGATTGAGCCCTACGAGTGCCAAGGAACTGAAATTGTCTGATGAGATCCAAAGAGAGGTTCAGGATGGCATCATGCGCAGATATCTCATGCAAGACAGCAAAGTCAACAGCACACTCAAAGTCAGCATCCTGCTCATCCAGGTCGATGGTGAACGCAATTTCATCGCGCCGCCGCTCAAGACGGCCCCGGTCTTTGGAGGCATTGTTGGGTTCATGGCGCCGGAGCAAGTTGAAGATGAAATCTTGGGACGTAAGTTGAACCCTTGTTAGACTCTGCTGTTTTGCACCCTTGTTTTGCGCGCGCTGATTTGTTAACGATTATCCTTTTGAAGCTGATAACAAGGCAGCTCTACCGAACTTGTCTAAGAATCGGGACGTTGCCGAGGTCCAAGACTTGTATCGTCGCGCCCTCGCGGCATCGTGGACTCGCCAGCCCTCTGAGCTCCCTACTGATGAATGTATCGAGGACATTTTCGCTGGCGGCAATGGCTGGAGGACCAAGCATAGAAGTGCCACCAGCCCTGATTCTGAAGACGACTACTACGATGAGGACGTCGACAACTCCGGCAACCTTCGACCCAATGAATATCGTCGCATGGCCATGAACCATCGCCGCAACCACTCGAATTCCTCATCCCACTTCCGCCCTGGCAGCTCCTATAATCACCAAAGCCCCCACTCTCACCATCGTCGTACCCTTTCCGGCTCGAGCGACAAGAGCGTCTCGACCGTCACGGTGGGAGGGAACCGCAATCCGCTCAAGAAGGGCGTGCGTATTCTCCGCGATGACAGCCGCGAGGACGACTTGATGAGCTCTAAGAGTGTCGTGAGTCTGATGAGCCTGGCACCCACGATGGGGAGCAGCGAGCGGGAAAGAGAACACATGAAGCGCACAAAGGAAATTGGAGAATCTGATGTGAGAGATGATTTAGTTGCTTGGAGTTTACCTGGGAGCGTAGCAGTATAGATGATTGCGTCTTTTCTTTCTCTCTTCCTCTTTTCCTTTTTCTTGCACAGCGAATCTTGGAAGAAGGATAAGGCTCCTCTCTTCACCTCCATCTCTGTATTTAGTTTCGGCCATCTCGTGGAGCCATCTCCGGCTCTGCAGGTTCGGTGTTACGGAGGTTGGCAATGGTTGGTTTATTCTAATATTCTCACCGTCTACATTCATCAAATTTATACATATATAATACTGCAGTAGTCTTGTATCACGCTTTGCACATCATCTTTCTCTGTAGTGGAATGCCAACATCGACTCCTTTTTTTTTATCCCCTCCGAACCCATATGATTTTTCGGCCGTATTCTTGCTCCCATCTCTCTAGAATCACTCGAGTAAAAGCAAGCTTCCCCCACCCTCATAAAATCTATATAAAAAAAGACATGCCCTCCCCCTCCAAGCATCCGGACGCATCTTCTACATTCATACCATGCTTGTGTGTGTGTTTTCACTTGCTAAGCTGACGTTTTTTTGCCCTCTTCTTGTTCCTTCCACCCCTTTCTTGTCCGTCCTTGACATTTAAGGAGCCTGCAGATTGCCCCTGACACCACCCTTGCCGCCTACTTCCCTAGCCGTGACTGTCACGCTGAGGTCTCCGGCGACGTTGATGGTGACCTCGACCTTGCCGCCCTTGGAGACGCCCTTGATGGCGGCCTCGGCAAGCGGTGTGCCAATCTTCCAGATCTTCTCGCGCTTCTCCTCCTCTTCCTCATCCTCAAAGTCGGAGTCGTCCTCGTCCTCGGGGACTTCCTCGACTCTGGCCTTGGGCTCAGGCTTGGTGACCTTGATGTGAGTGCCACCCTCGACAACCTTGACCAGGACGTCGCCGCCCTCGGCAGTGGCGGCGATGTGGACGGTGCGGCGGGCGGGGACCGCCGTCTCGGCCTGCATGATGGGGGTGAAGACGTCCTCGCCCTCGGCGTTGACGGTGACGACGCCGATGGCGTTGGAGATGTGCTTGACGGTGGTGACGGCGGGGTGAGTGGACTGCTCGATATCAGCAGCCTCGTACTCCTGGACCAGCGAGGCCTGGAGAGCGGCACCACGAGCCTGCAGCTCAGAGGGGTTGATGGCGGTGGCGCTGGTGGCGGGTGCGAGGATGACGGTGGACTCGGGGAAGATGGACTGGAAGTTGGTGGCGATTCGGGGAGTGTGAGAGGTGCCGCCGCACATGATGACCTCGTCGACGTCGAGGACGTCGAGCTCGGCCTTCTTGACAACGCTCTCAACGAGGCGGTTGAAGCCCTCAAAGACCTTGCGCCCAACCATCTCGTATCGGGTCCTGTTGAGGGTGGCGGAGAAGTCGAATCCGTCAGCCAAGCTCTCGACGCTGAACTGGGCATTGGTGCCCAGGCTGAGGGCCTTCTTGGTGGCCTCGGACTCGAGGCGCAGCTTGGCCAAGCTCCTGGCGTTTGATCGGGGGTCGACGGTATGCTTCTTGATGAACTCCTTGGCGAAGTACTCCATCAGGGCCTGGTCGAGGTGGACACCGGCGAATTCGTAGTCGTGGGCGGTGGCCAGGATGGTGTACATGCCACCTCGCGAGGCAACGACGGCGACGTCGGAGCGAGTGCCGCCCAGGTCGGCGACGACAACGATCTTGTCCTCGGTCTTGGCCTCGGGGCGGGCGTCGTAGGCCAGCACGGCGGCAATGGGGTCGGAGATGAGCTGGAGGACCTCGAGGTCGGCATCATTGGCGGCCTTGATCAGGGCCTCGCGCTGCTTCTCGGAGAAGTTGGTGGGGACGGTGATGACGGCCGAGGTGACCTTCTTGCCCAGGTACTCGGAGGCGGCGGTGACGAGGCGTCGCAGATATCGGGTGGCGGCCTCGGAGACTGAGACGTCTGTAGGTGCGTCGTCCTCGCCGGCCTTGTCCTTGACGGTGAAGGAGACGGCGCCGGAGGCATCCTGGGGGTGAGCAGCGGCGTGGCAGTGTGTGGGGTCAATTGACTTGAACCTGAGCAGAATGGTCAGCACCGCATCTCAAGTCTGTCTCGTCATTGTCTCATCACCCCCTCGTCGTTATCAGATTTTAGGGATAATGGCAGTCGTACTCTTGGCCTAGGAAGTCTCTGAAGTAGGCAATGGTGTTGGTCGGGTTCCTGACCAAGAATGCCTTGGCCTGAGCGCCGTAGTACTCATCACCATCGACGTAGGACAGAGCGGTGGGGATCTGTCGGTCTGTAATGCCACAACTGTCAGTCGAGAAGAGAAAAGAGAACAAAAACCTTTCAGGCTGGATGGAGCTTGTAGTTTCGGGAGAGGCTGCTGCTGCGCCATATAACCTAGCACCCCTCCCCCCCAAAAGGACAAGCAAGCTCTGTCTAAACTCGCGACAAACTCAAAAACATACCACCGTCCTCGTTGGCAATGACCTCGACCTTGTCGTCAACGGTAAAGGCAATGGAACTGTTGGAGTTGCCAAAGGTGATGCCAATGGCAACTCGGTTGCCGGGCTCGACCGCGGCCTTGACGCCGTTGCTCTCAGACATTTGCGGAGGTGTTTGTGAAAACCAAAAGAGATGAGATTAAAAAATAAAGAAGAAGAAAAGGAACCTTCTTCTGCCTCTGTCAATCCGCAAGCAAAAAAAAAAGATTGTGAGAGAGGGTGGATTGGATTGGATTGGATCGGGGGGAGTCGGTTTTCTGGTGGAGGGGCTACTTTTTTTTTTCTTCTTACAAAAAATTTCGAGCAGAGCCAAACGGGTTCCAATGCTAGTGGAGGCTACAGGCACCCCGCGGCGCGGCGATAGGACGGCAGCCAATCAGACGTGCCCCTCCATAGCAGTCCGTCTTATCGCTTATCCGCCCAATCAAAGGGGAAAAAAACAATTCGTCCCCAGAGAGCAAACGCAAGGCTGAACAACAAGAAACAAAAGACGCCATTCCTCTCATCGTTGATTATCGTGCCCAGTTACAGCGAACAGCCTTGGATACAGACAGCAAGAGAGTCGAGTTCGCCGCAGAATGTCTTCAGAACCGGTCTTTGTCCTGCCGGGCGACCGCATCGACGCCTCGTTGATCCCTTCAAATCCAAAGAAGCCTCTCCGCCTGGGTCCGGGCCTGCGCCATGTCCCTCCGAGCGACATCCTCCCGACGCTGGCCGGCCAGCTAGTGACAGACCGGCAGAAGAACGCCATTCGTGTAGAGACGTCAAATGGCAGGGTGAGATTGGTCGACGACTGCATCAATTTGTCTCGTCTAATGGGCTAACGGTTTTGTCCTCAGTATATCCCACGGGTAGGCGAGCTCGTCATCGGCACCATCAACAAATCCGCCTCTGAAGTGTACTTCGTCAACCTCTCTGACTACACCGCTCCCGCCCTCCTCCCTCAGCTCTCATTCGAATCCGCCACGAAAAAGACGCGCCCCATCCTAGCCCCCGGAGCGTTGGTCTACGCCCGTGTGACACTGGCAAACAAGCACATGGACGCAGAGCTCGAGTGTGTTTCTGCGTCAACAGGCAAAGCCGATGGTCTCGGGCCATTGGTGGGCGGCATGTTATTTACGATATCCCTTGGCATGGCCCGCCTCCTGATGATGCCCAAGAAGGCCCAGCACGGCAAGCTTGTCGTTTTGGACGAGCTTGCTGACGCCGGCGTTCAGTTCGAGACGGCGACGGGCAGGAACGGCAGGTTATGGGTAGACAGCGATAGCGCAAAGGCCATCATCGCCGTCGGCAGAGCCATCCAGGAGACAGACACAAAGTCGCTCAGTGTAGATGAGCAGAGAAAATTGGTCAGAAGATTAATCAAGGAGCTGAGCTGAAACGATTGAGACAAGAAGCAAAAGAGAATATTCGCAGTGAACCAACGGCTTCTTTTATTTCTGCCGGGTCGTCTGCCCATTTCATATATACCCATCGCGCACTGCTTGTCCCAGCAGGGACGCCTGCCTGTCTGCCTAGATAGATAGATATAAACAACGCCTCCCTCTAGCCCGTCCCCGTAGATGTTCCTTTTCCATTATGAGAAAAGTAGGGGCCGGGCCATCCATATAATACAAAAAATATAAGTTAATTAAAACGCCTCGCAAAATCCAAGTGCTTGCCGAAGCTCCAATGCCATTTCCTGGTCGGACTGTGTACCCTGTGCGCTTGATGAGATAACGACAGACATCGCCTGATATTCGTATGGAAGAGGAAAATAAGAAACGTTGCCAACGCCGTGGCACGTAGGCGAGGACGGACGCCTGCCAGGGTTGTTAAAGTGAAAATAATGTATAGCTTATAATTGGGTCTCGTTTCCCCACGGATTTGCTCGCTGACTGAGTCAAAACGCTGGCCGTGTTTCAAAAGCTGCCATTGAGTGAAACGCCTTTTTTGACAACTCGTCCTTGCGACTTGCAATAGACGGGGTATTCATAGAAGCTTCAAAGTGTCATATCATGGATCACCCTTGAACAGGTGGGTGTCCTCGGTGGTATACTCGTGGAGCAGCATAGAGTAATTCCTCTACGCGTCCCCTCTCACTTCTCTTTCCTCCGTCTTGATTAGAATTGGTTTTTTTTTGTTTTTTTTTTTTTTTTGTTTTTTCTTGTTTTTCTTGCTCCCCCTCACTAGATCATATGCCGTCTACATCCATGTCGACTTCAATCGGCTCTGGAAGTTGTTGCTGTTCAATATTATGAATCTTAATCATGTGTCTCTTCCAATTGTCTTTTCTGGGGAAGGCTTTGCCTCCTGCTCTAGAGTAATCGCAGCCGGCGACAGAACAGTGGAATTTCTTCTTCTTCTCGTGCCTGTCATTGATATGTCTCTGCAAATGGGTCTTGGTGCCGAAGCCCTTGCCGCAGCCTGGGTAAGTGCACTTGTGGTCTTTACTGTGATAGCGCTGATGATGCCTAGCAAAGAGGGACAACGTTAGTACAGATAAAATACACTTACACACGTAAAAAAAGAAGAGAAAAGAAAAACAAAACAGTGGAGAAACGAGAATCATAAAGGCATGTCTTACTTGAGCTTGTGTGGTTGGTCAAAGGATTGGTTACACCCAGGCTCATCGCATCGGTAGACTCCAGTCCTGGGAGAGTGACTACCAGCACCAGAGTGTGGCGACGCGCTATGTCGGAAATCAGAGCTTCCCATAGACTCGGGCGAAGGTGTATCCAATCCAGTCGATGGCGTGTTTTGTGATGAAACGTCGGTAAAGGAGGGGCCGGGGAGTGGGGTGGAATGATCGGAGGGGTAGCTTGGATGCCGGCCGTCTGGCGCTGCCAAGCTGTGGTCGTGGTTCGGAGGAAGACTTGTGTCTAGCATGACGACATCGCCGTTGTCAAGTTGAGCATTCGCTTGGTCGTTGTCAGTGTTGGTGTTGGGGTTGGTGGTGGTGTAATCAGGAATGAACTCGGTGTGGTTTGTAGAGCCGGGCGACTGCACTGTAAAGACTGGCTGAAGCTGCGTTTCAGGAGGTGTCGGGGACGGGGACGGCATAACGGCGCCGTTGGCGAGTCCCTCGTGCGGTAATGATGCAGCAGGATCACTTCGCGACGGCTTGTGGAAGGCCTCGTAAAGCTGGGCCTCAGTTTTATGCCAGACTTCGGTTTCCGTAGAGGCAGGCATGATGTCCATGGGATTTACGGTTCCGGGCGAGGCAACAGGAGGGGAGGGAGACTTTCGGAACTGATGATATGACGGGAATGGAGATGACTCTGGAAGTGAGGCTTTTGAAGAAGGCTCTGGCGCATTACTAACGGGAGGGCTGACTGGCGCCAGGCTTGCTTCAGTCGCCGCTTCGGCGTCTGGTTGGTGGTGTGAGAGGGGCAGGGAGGCAGCCGAGAGGTTTGTGGGAGACTCGACATGGTCGCCACTGGTTATGGCTTGCAGCGGAGTCGCCCCATCAAGCTGAGATGAAGCTGGATCTCCTTCTGGGATGGTTGTTCGTGAAACGGTAGAATCAAGGGTTGCGTCTCTGCCTGTCTTACGACGGAACATGTGCATCATGTTCAAGCGAAGAGAGCTGGAACGCGAAGAAGAAGAAGGTGGCTGCAGAGGCGAGTCGACCGGCGTGTCGGGCTGCATCACCATGCCAAACGCCTCGGATGGGATATGAGGACTGTAGTAGTCGGCGCTGGTGCCTTTGAGAACGCCGGGCTCGAGATCGTCTGTTAATGGTGGTGCAAACTCGCCATCGTCGCAACCCAGCAGCGGGAACGGTTGCGCTTTGACCCGGTACTCATCAGCAATGCCGCCGTTGACGAGCCCAGGATCTCCGGGCTGCAAGTATGCCGTGTTGAGAGGGAAAGAATAGCCATTGTTGTTGATGCCGTGGTCCGCACGAGCGTCCCAATGGCCATAGTCGGCACTTCCTCCATCGCCTTCTCCTCCGCGCGTCAAGTCTCCCTTGTGCTTGTATGAATCGCTCGACGAGAGGCGTTTAGGAGGGGTGTTTGCTCCGCCAGAAGCGCTGCTACCGTGCCCGGCTCCAACAGCGCCCACCTCGGCATCGAACGGCGGGTGTGAATGGCTGCTTCGACGACGCTTGAGGTAGAGGAAGCACGGGTACAGGCAGATGGCCAGCAGTGCAACCGCAATCACCACACCGACGGTGATTCCAGCAATTGCGCCGCCGCTCAGATGCCGCTTGTATATGTGCAATTCGTTGTGGGTGATTCTGGATTCAAGCCTGTTCGCATTCCCGTTCGCAATCCCGTTCCTATTCGCATGGACGTTCACATTCACATTCCTATCCACCCCAAGCGCCCGCCCGCGCAACGACTCCAGGCTCCTTGCCAATGCATGGCTCGCTATCCGCCTCACAGCTCGCACACGGTCGCCGATTGAGGTCGTATCGGTCGTGGCAACTCTCGTGGCGACGGAGCTGGATGAGGCCATTGCTCCTTTGCTGCCTGAGGTCGGTCCGCTGTGGTTCTCTGCTCTCTCGGATTCGAATAGCGCGGGAGGCCGCCCACGGCCAAAAGAAAAACGGCTGTCTCGCCCAGGTGCAGGGGTCGGCAGTATCAGACAAGACTGCTCCAAGGCCTTCGTCTCGGTAGTGTCAGAAAATCCTCATCATGAAGAGGCACAGGCAGAGAAAAAAGGGTCGGATTATTCACACTAGCAGGTGAGAGAACGAAAAGGCAAAAGGCGAGCGCTGGGCTTTGTAGTGTCAGCAGGGCCCTTCCTTCGCTCTCTTGCAGCTACCCGTCGACCTGTACATGTACGTACTTGCAGGTGGACACAGGGCTGAGCAGTTGGTGCAAGCAGAACACCTTAAGTACTCGTACGTAGTACGTGCGCACAGCAGAAATGCGCACGCAGTGTTAGCCTAAAGAAGGAAAGGCGATGGATTTCTCGTACGGGATCTGCTACCTGGCACGTGTAGGGGATGTATCGCATGTACTCGTACCTCTCCAGGCCTGGCGCAATCCGCGAGGTAGGTGTTGAGACGATTCGCTCGGATAAAATCAACGATCAACCAGGTCGAGCAATTGGTTCAGCTCGTCTCATTCAGCTTCATCCCACTACAGTATAGCGGCCGCTTCCCCCGCCCGGCGGATTCACAGTGAAGAAGATGAATTCGATGGTCCAAGGTGGTTGATCCAAGCTTCTCACAAGCACGGGCGTTTTGATCCTGCAGGGCCTACCTTGGTACTTAGAGGTAGTAATGTAACATGGCACCAAGTAGTGGACATCAATGTAATTACTAGGTACCTACCTACTAGTATACGTCCAAGCAGCAGCAGCAGCAGCATGCAACTAAAATGTCCAGTACCTATTGTACCTCTGCTGTTCCCGCACGGCAAAATACCCGAGGTGGCGTCTGGTGCGAATTTTCCCCCATCGACTGAGGATGGCTTTTTCTCCCCCACTCACTTGGACCGGCGCTTAGAACGTTTGAAGAACGGGCGGAGGAGCTGCTTGGGATAGTTCTATAATTGGCGTCAATGTCACGTCTCCTCCTGATCCTCTCCAAAGTAAGCAAGCTTATACTGCATGCCTATAGGTAGAGTATGTCAAGCCGTTGCTCAGGTACTCTAATCCAGAAAGGTAGAGAGAATCTAGGAACTATTAAAGGCATCGCCGAGTGTCCAAGTTCCCCAAGCGAGGTCGCCCCCCCTAAACCAACTTCGCCCGTGCAACTACTAATACTTGACTGTACTACATATCCTAGTCCAGGGAGTAGACCACAAAGTTGTTGCATCCTTGTCTGACTGTAGAGTCGCCCGCGGCTTACTGTATTTGCTTGTTGTACGATTCATGACACAGCACAGCAATGCCATCTTTCAACAAGTCGTCCAGTCGGCGTCTCGTCCAACCCCAACAGCCAATAGCAGCGGCGCTTGTCCCGTCAGTGCCGACAGCGCTCAGAGAGGACATATGACTCGATGTCTGCCAATCCTCCTGGAATACTTCGTAGCCATGCCATGTATGTACTTTGCTAATACTAAAAGTTATCGACTGGCGGCTCCGAAAGCCGGTTGATGGTCACAGTAATCCAGCAACTGCCGCAAGTATTTTATATGTGTTACTTGGTTCTCCGTGCTCTGGCAGCCAAGACTGGCACTGCCCAGGAAATGCCTTGGAACTGCCAAAATCAGCCTCGCCGCCTGTCACCCACCCGTCATCCAACCGCCCGGAACTTTTGCGAGATTTGCCCCATATTTACCGGCTCTCTCTCCGCTGTTAAATCTGGAGCCTCTTCAACCCTACCTTGATGCGACGATACAAGTCAACTTCAAACGATTCGAGTCTCTCTGAATCCTAATGAGAACTGATTATATGAATTAGATATAGTAGGTAGGTAGTGCTTTGGACATCAGCCGAGTACTTGGTAGATGCCCGGGCTGCTTTATTGTAGCTTCAGCACGTGGCCATGCTAAACTAATCCGCCCCACGTTGCCGTATAAGGCAATCCCACCTGTACCAAACTCTCCCTCTTACATGTACATACAATGAAGCGGAGTCTAGGTGCTTCGTTGCAGCTATGCTATTCCCGCGATTCTTCTTCATGCAACAGGATGGGGTAGTGCAGTTTAGCTCCAGCACTGGCCCGGTGCCAAATACGGGGTATTGGCATTGCAGGGACGTGATACACGTGCGGATACGCAAATTCAACGACGGCTGTTTGCCTAGGACGCTGTTCGGAGTGTGCTCCTTTCTCTCTCTCTCTCTCTCTCTCTCTCTCTCTCTCTCTCTCTCTCTCTCTCTCTCTCTCTCTCTCTCGCTTCCTCTAAATTCTCCGGCTATGCAGATGCCACTCGCGCTCGCGTCAAGTTTGATGCTTGTACCTACTGTGCTTGTACGCACGATAACGCAAAGCTGCGGAGAACAGAAACCACGTACTCTGCTGCGGCTGGTTCGCATCTTGTGCCTGAATCCGGCACGCGGGCCTCGGGCCAGTCCGTGAGTCCAGCCCCCTTCGACAAAGGAGGTCTTGATGCTTCGCACCACCATCATACAATCTCCGTCATTCAGGAGAATACTTCCTGGGGATATCAACAACGTGCAATACGCTTATCTGTAAGAGGAGGATCTCCGACACGGGCTAGTCACTCTTCTGCTGCACAAGATGGGAACTCCGAGAGTGAGAGGCCTCTTCCATTCTTCATTTCACGTCGCGCCACAAACGCTGTTACAACAAACTCCTAAGCCTCTCTAGCTGTTCGGCACTCCTCGTATAGTAACATTACAACTTTTTCAGTATCCCCTATCCGCTCTGTAGCCAATTGGCTCAGTCCATGTCCATTTCCCTTTTATACAACAAAAACTCAACAGTCAAATGTCACAAGCATATTCCCCAACGCCTAGTATTCTCTTGATTTTGGACACAGTGACTCTCCATAGTCTCAATCAACATCCCCAATATCGCACAGCCGCAAACATCAATGGCTTCCCCGTACAACATATCAGTAGTTCAAACTAGTGCAGATGAACAAGACGTCTGTGCATGTGGGCATCTGCCCAGACTTGCGCGGCGTATTTAGCCCGTCGGCATCCTTTGGCCTGCCGATAGTTCATACGAACATGCATGATAATAACCTCGGCTTGTCTCGCCCGGGTGATAGCGACGTTGAGTCGCTGAGGGTCGTCCATGAAGCCGACCGACGTAGTTCTGACCATGTCAAGGAAAACAACATCTGCTTGGTTGCCTTGTGCCTTGTCAACCGTTAAGACCAGCACCCGATCCTGCCAGTCCGCAGGCCATTGTTTAACCTCTCCTTGGTATTGCCGGTATGCCGTACTGTATGGCGTCTGAATCATAATCGTTCCAGGGGCACCGGAGACGCTTTGGAACTTGACATCTTCCAACAGACTCTTCGCTTGCTCAATAACCCAGCTGTGCTGCGTGGGATTCCAGAAGCTATTGCGGTGTGTTTCCTCAGAACTGTTTGCGAAGCTCACCACGAGCCTGTTTTCCTCCAGGTTCTCTCTTCCCGAGAGCTTCTCCAAGTACTCTTTCAAGTACTTCGTGCTTGCCGGATACATTGTCTCTTCACTATGACCTGATGTCATCTCACCATCGTAGAAAATGTGAGATGGAAGACGCTGCAGGTTTCCAAAGGCACGATTGTTGACAAGCAACTTGTGATCAAGAGCGTCAGCCGCTGCCGCTCGTGCCATCGTGCTGAGTCGCAGCTGTTCAGCGTAAGGGTTGAATATCAGTCCTTTTTGCTGGGCTTTTCTCTCGGAGCCGCAGTTATCGATAAACGGGCGCGTCTGCTTCACGTCGCCGGTGAAGATCCAAGCCACAGGATCAAAGTATGCCAAAGGAATGAGTGTCGTCAACTCCCGAGCATGAGGCGCCTCGTCCACAAAAATAATCTCTGGGCGAAACAGTTTGGCAAAGCTGCCGGAGGCGGCTACAGGAGTCGTGGCAACAAAGTCGGCACCAGCCAGAACATCTCTGTACAAACCGGTGACTTGGCGCCGAAGAGACCTCCAGTCTTCGCCGTCGAAAACTTCTTCCTTCTCCATGCGTCCAAGGAGCTTCGTAAGACCAGGGTAGCTGTCATGCTTGTGCTTCTCGTAATGATCCCAAGCTGCCTCGTCGAGGTTGGGAGCACGCCTGTCATCCCGCTCCAGCTTAGCGTGGTGAGTTAAACCAACAGTCGTCAGAAAAGTCTTGGTGAAATCCGTGGCTGCATCGCCATCATCCTTGTGACCGCCCGCTTGATTTAGCCTTTCAGAATGGCGCATCTCATAAGGCCACCCATACATCCGTATAATTCGAACGTCGAGTCCGGCGTCTTTACAGAGGCAGTGGTATCTGTCAGCTGCATCCGACACAGTCTGGTTAATGTCGACAAGAAAGAGGATCGGATGAGGAATCCTCTTGGCGGCATATGTATGGTGAGACTGGATCAGTGCAGAAATGACCATATTCCACTCAGTCTTTCCTGCTCCGGGACAGCCATTGACAAAGTAAAGGCCATTTTTTATTCGCCCAAGTCCCTGGTGAGCTGCAACGTGGTCGTGATTGAATTGTGCAAATTTCTTCAAAAGAACAGGAGAAATATTGTGCGCCGACTTGCCCGGCTGTGCCAGGTGAGGATACTTTGAGAGTAGATCAATCATTTCCGGGCCCTCTGCTTGAAAATGTTGCAACATTGCAAATGCAAGCCTGGCACGATAGCACGGTGCCCTTTTCTCAAATCTCTTTGGCGCAACAAAGAAGTCCAACGCATCAAGCTCGGCTTCAAAAGTCTTGCTTGAAATCTCCCAACGGATCGAGATGTTTTTCTGGTTGGTCTCATCCAAGACGATGCCGGAGAAGTCATCCAACGCACCAGAGACTTGGAGGTGCGCCATCAGGTTTACCTCTATCTGCTCTCCATTCTCAGCCCTCTGACACCTTGGGACGTCCACTTTAAACGCTGCGAGCTTTTGTATAGAGTTCCCCTCCAAGCTAGCGACATCTTCGTAGGGGTTCTGGATTCGCGTCGCAGGCAGATGATACAGGGTAAATGAGCCCTGTGGCAGCTGAATGCTTTGTTCCATGTCGATGGAAAACCTATCGGTTATGGTCGGAAAACCGATACTCAGAGAGGAAGTCGGATTTCTCGCCAGAAGCAACCAGGACGTCGTGAAAGATGTCTGGCACCCAGGTATGGGTCCGATGACCCAAGCCGCGTGTGTGTCGCCGCGCTCGTTGAGTATCTTGAGCCGCGACATCTCATTTTCCATCTCGATTATGGTGCCTCGTTCTAACCGATGGACAAACTCCTCTTGGGTCGAAAACTTGATGATGGGCCATTTCATCTGTATCCAACGTGGCCTTCGAGTCAGCATAGCGATCAAACTTTTGGGGCGGGGGGCTATGGTTGTTTACCATGGTAGGGCCCATGAAGGCTTCGACTCCAGGTTTGACGGTCATCTTGATCGGATGTAGAGAGTGGCAGCAGTTGATTGATGGAATTGCTGAGTTCAAACTGGCCAGGGAGGAGAATGGAATCAATGAGATGAAGATGGAAGCTCCTGGAAATCGCAGTGTCAAACAGAGATAGGTCGAAGGAGAATTCCAGTACAAGAACCAACCAGTTATTGGTCAAGATTTGTGGAACAAAATGACACCCCCAAGCGTTGGGTCTCTTCTCCGTGGGTTGGCGGACGAAGGTGCACAGGACGAGATGAATCAACAGTATGATAATACAATGAAATGTAAACAAAGGGGCATATGCTTGCTGCTTATAGAAGCAGACAAGCGGAAGAAGAAAGAGATGACGATCGAAATGAAAGGCCAGCAGGCGACCTTCGTAAGTGGGAGAAGAAAGTCGAGCAGTGGGCAAGGAAAAGAGGAGGAGGAGGAGGATGTGGGAGGGGAGGGGAGAGGGTTGAAGTAGTTGCCTGCAGTCCTCCTTGGTCAGCTGACTTTTTGAGAAGAAGGCCAAAAACATTGGATGAACAAACGCGTAAGTTAGGCATGGGCGGTTGCAGGTTGCAGGTTGCGTGATTCAGTGCTTGAGCTGTTGGCGGTCAGTTAGCAGAAGTCGCCAGGCGCCTGCCTAGGGCATTCTGCAACCGCTATATTGGCCAAGTGAGCCATACAGAAGCAACTTGGCCAACCAGTGAGGCTTTTAAGGTGCTCTAAAATTGGGGGAAACAAGGAGGAGAAAAGAACGGGAAAGAACAGAAGCGGGCAGGGAGCTTCTGATTCAAGGAGGATCGATTCATTGATACGATACGAGATGATAGCAGGCGATATTCAGTGGCGGTCATGGAGGTTATGGGCTATTTTCTGCAGCATATTGCATACCAAGTGGCATTGTATGCGGTTCAGTGGTTCAGAGCAAAGCAGATTATCATTAAGAATATGTAAAGTAGCATAAATCAACCGTCAATAGGAGTGCGGCTGGCATCTTGCGTTTACTCTCCCAAAGACGAGCTAAGCCTTGCTCACTTCCATGTTTGTATCACACAAATTGTCCCTATTCAATACTCTCTTGCAAGAGTAGAAGCAACAAACCTAAAGCCAAAAAAAAAAAGTTTAGTCCTTGCTTCTCAACTCTATTTCTCGAAAAGCGGAAGATGATTAAATTTTCGTAGCTCCTCTAGATTCTCAAGCCAAATACCATGAGCATAGACCGAAGATGCACATCCAATTAGCAAATCATGTATTATGATGTGCGAACAACAGCTCAGTTACTGTGCTCCCTCCCCAACTCATGTGAGGTCGACAAAGGAGCTGCGTCTGCGGAAATTATTCCGAAACCTTTCTCGTGGGCAATCAAGTTCCATAATATCTTCATCCATCTCAGGAGACGACGGCGCCCCAGGTGATGTTTGCCAGCGCGAATAATCATCAGAGTTGTCGTTGTCAGAGTCGTCGACAACGAGGACGTCATCGGCTATCGGTTGATATCGAGTCATTCCATCTTGCTGCAGAAGCCAATCTTCCAGATGTCGGTACAACACCCGCACGGTATTGGAAGGAAACGCGTTGCCGATTTGTCTCCTAATGCTTGTTTTCGTCCCAATGAACTTGTGGCACTTTGGGAATCCCTGAATGCAGGCATATTCACGGAGAGTAAGACTTCTTGTACCGTCCGGGTAGTATACTTCGCTGCCTCCTGTTGTGATGGTGCCTGCCAGCCGATCTGGATCAAGCGGCGCCCGACGTGGCCGATAATACTTGACATTGTCGAGATTGTGTAGATCATCACCAACACAGATAGAGCCAATTGCTTTCCGAATAGTTGTATACGGCTTCAAGCCGCCAGTTCCATTCTCGGAATGGGTAGGCTTGGGGAAAGGAGGTAATCTCTCCCCTGGGGCGGCTGCAAGAATAATCAGGCGCTTTCTATCTTGTGCTAAACCCCAGGTACAGAGTCTGACCACTTTCCACCGAACCGAGTAACCAAGTTGAGTGTAGTCTCCAATCAGGCCTCTCAGATACTGGTGATGCCGTTCATGCGTGATGCCAAATGTCTGCTCGAGCGTAACCAGGCGTGGCCGTAGCTTGTTGATCAATTCGCGGCACGCAAAGAGGGCGCAAACGTTGGTTTCATCATGGATAGATTCGCGCGTATGTGCTGGCGAGAAGTATTGGCAGGGCGGAGACAAATGTAATACGTCAACCCTCATTAACCGGTCTTTTGTATCCCGAATAAACTCGTCAATAGACATCTTGAACAGCTCCGTGTCGCGAAAGTTGGTCTGATATGTTTGCTAAACACCGTCCCACTTGTCCACGGCATGCTGGACTTTGAAACCGGAGCCTTGGGCGCCGCGAGATACACCCCCCGCCCCCGAAAAGGAGTCGAAGAATGTATACTTTTGTTCTTTTCGTCTATTGCTCGAGGATCGACTCGTGTTTGGCCGCGACTCGAGATCAATGATTCCTGACCCGCTCGGGGGCCACGAACCTCCCTTTGCGCGTCCACCCCGCCACTGATTGCAAAGCCTCTCGTCTGATACGCGATATCTTGAACTCGGTACGTCTTCTAGTTGGACACGCTCAAGAACTTCTTCTTCTGGCCTTGTAGCCCGACTTTGGTGTTGCATGGTAAAGTAAATCGTAAATTTCCAGCGGCAGACAAGATGGCCATGGATTTCAGCCCGACGTTGTTGCGTCTGTTCATCCCCAGCATTGAAACCAAGACTAGCCGCATTATAACAATGTTCTGGGTAGACTGCGTTGGTAATGACAAGTTCTCTTCTCTTGACAACCAAGGTGGGAGGGACATCCACGAGAACTGCAGCGAGCTCTTGTCCGTTGTCTCGTCTCTGAATGTGAAGTATCATGCATATCTCGTTGACTTTCTTTGGTAGTTTTCCTCGTAGCATCCTCGTCCGCACAAATGGTATCCCGCGTATCTTGTATTGCCCACGGCGATCCCGTGCGATGATCTGGATCTGAACAAACTCGATTTCGTACGTCCCAAGCTCAACATTTCGAACCTGTATCAAGTCTCCACGAGAGAATTGAGCTCCCGAACGAGGGTCGCGATACTTCTCTATGGGCAATTCGCCTTCGTGAAGCTGACCGTGGGCGCCATTCTCTAGTTCGTGCCCGGTAAGGTCAATGACTTCTTCCTCAAACAATTCCACCAGCTCCTGCACATCGCCTTCATCTTCGTCGCTTGCGCGGCCAAGTGTCACTGTGGATGTGGCTCTTTGCCTATCTTCGGAGGCGGCAATCCTTGATGTCAAAAATTGTACTTCCTCATCGCTGATGGAGTCGATCACCATCCGAGGTGACATGTCGCGAAGAGATATGGGAGAGTTATATCGATTGTAGTTCCATATATTAGCAAGTAGAATGGAGGTTGAGGCTGCAGAAAGGAGGATGGATGATCATAGGATATTGCGAAGAACAGCAATTGGAAATTGGGCATGGAGGTGAGGTCGAAGGCAATTGCAAGGTGAATGACGAGTTGCGTTGCACAGAGCTTATCCAACTATCCAATCATGGCGAACAAAAAATTGAGATATTCAGAATTGTGATACCAAAGTAAAGAGCATCTGAAGCAAAGGAGCACAAAAGTGAGCTTGTTGTCAGGGGGATCGGCTGTGAGAGAGGGAGTGCCAAGACTCTTACACTTATGCTGCCAGCCGTCTGCATTTCCCTCGAATTGAAGGGCTCTTCTGTAGATTAGTACCTTAGTAGGTACTACTCAAGACCACGTAAGCCATGTAGCAAATATCATTGTACCTACAAATAGTAGTTCGCAAATGAAATTCATAAATGCAACAATAAGAGTTGGCCAGTATCTACGGGCATTGCACCGCATTCACTCATCTGGCCAATCGTTGACTTGCAGGGTAGCTGCAGGTGCTCGCAGAAGGAAGCATCATCGCTCGCATATTAGAGAGCCCAGCCTTTGCCTGTCGAGTATCTGCTGTCGTACAGTATTCCGTACTACCTGGACTACGGGAAAACACAGCTAGAAACTTGTTGAGTTTCCGCAGCGGTGCTCATGGAAAATTAGAGTCCAAACTCAATTTAAATAGGAAACAAAAACGATGGTGCTTTTCCCGCTCATCAAAGCCCTTTTCACAACCCTATCGTAAGAACGTCTGTTTGGAGCCTTAGTAAACTTTGGCTGCCGATTTCTTCAACGATTCGGCAGCATAATTTCCCGCTACCCGATTCGTTACATGTGAACATGCTTCATTGAACAAATCGCCATTTAAATCCCGGCAAGTGCCCGCAAGCCTGGAAACGCGCATCGCTGCGGGCAAGTCGCGCGTTGGAGAAGGCAAGGTACCGCCGTCAACTTGCAGGTACTAACTGTAGTACCTTTACCTTCAGTTGCTTCTTCGGCGAGTTGAAGGTACCTACCCGTGAACGGGCAGATAACGGAGAGTGATAAGGCACCTCTGAAGCTCAAAAGTCACATGCGCTCTGACATCTGCCCTTCTGCATTATTCCTACCTCATTGTCTTCTGCACAAATGATTCCTGTCACCAAGTTGGCTCAAGAAAACCCACCTCTTCTCACTGCAGCGGTCTTCTCCTCAGGCCTTGTCGTACCTCGAGGACCTGGAAAAGGTACCTGCTCTGCCTTCCAAGTTGTACTGTCGTCACTGGGGGTGCGCGAGGGGCATGTACCACATCTTGGCACCACTTCGCGCTTGTACCCTTTTTCCCCGATTGACTCCACATTTTCTTTGTCCTTTGTTCGCGATCTCGCCGTGCTTTTCAATCTCTCTACTTTCAATCTCTTCTTCCCACTTCGTCTTCTCGCCACTTTTTTTGTGCAAACGGCGCGTGTTTCCTTTCGTTCTTTTTCTTCTTCCTCTTCTTTTACACGCCTCCACGTTTTTCGCTTCTACAGTTGCCAGCTCCAGCAGGAAGCAAAAGGCCATACCCAAGCCGCATTTCCTTTTCCTTGTTTGATGAAACTTCTAGCGATGGGCTTCTGCCTCAGTAGCTAGGTAGTCCGATACAATGGCAGATATCAACGAGGTACTGGGGAAATGGTATGAAGAGTTCCAACAGATCCCCGCAGAGTGCCATCTCCTCTGCCCCCGAATCAGCGACGATGACGACGAAAACTACAAGACTCTCGACGATCCCGACTCCAGGATTTCGCGCGAGGAGAAGGAAAATTGCATTGAACAGAGCAAGAAGCGGATCGAGGTCACCTACTGGAACAGTTTGATATTCGGCTTCGACAAACAGGAAGCGGGCAAATGGCTCGAAGACTTCACCGGAAGGCTTGAGAACTGTCTCAAATATTGCCCCGAATGTGTCCTCAACTGGCACATGAAGCGCAAGTATCATCTCCAAATGTTTTCAGAGTGAGTTACACCCACATCCACGCCGTGATATGCACGCAGTCGCTAACGTGCTCCACTTAGGCGATGGAACGAAGAAGCTGTTGCGCAGATCCGAGATTTGCTAGTGAACCTCGACGTCAATCGAATCGATCACAACCTGACCTGGGCGAAGCAATTCATAGAAAAGATTGAGGAATCTGGAGCCGTTTTCAAGAAGTCGCAATTTGGCGAGCACCTCACCGAGGTCCACCTCGCCGTTTACGAGGCGCTATGTTGCGTGGCCTACTTGGCCAACGCAGAGCAACGAGCCGTCTTCCAGTACGTCTTCATGCGTCTGCAGGGAAAGACGTACCTCAAGCTCGGAACCAAGGACCCGCTACCGGGAATGACCTACTTCTTGTTTGACCAGAAGAACGAAGACCGCCGAAGATGGGCAGCAGAGAACTGGAAAAACATTGACAGTGGCGGCATGACGGAGGAACAGTTCGACTGGGCCGTTAACGACGGCCTCGTCAGTTCAATAGATGACATTAGCAAGAAGGATCTTTCTCAGGCTACCAGCGAAATCTATCTCGAGATTGAACGCTTCTGGCAAGGCTTCGAAGGTATTCTCAGGACGCTCAATGACGCAATCATTCTGAGCCGCCTCCGCAGCCTCGAAATTCCATCAGGGAGCTTCAACATATACGAACTGCTATTTCGGCATATTCAGTTTTGTCGGTCCGAAGGTGTACTTGTGGTCTCTATCAAGGTTCTTTGCGGCTTGTTGAAGAAGTCGCCAAAGGCTTTTTGGGACGTCGTCGGTGACGCCCGCCCAAATGTGATTGCCGATCTGCTATTTGGCAGCCCCGTTTACAAGACTCTTCTGCGACAGTCTCTAGAGGATTGCTGGTCTGTTGTTGACCTTGCGTCTCAGTTCACGCCGTTTCCCACCTCGTGGATCCAGCCTTGGCTTCAGTCCCTCAGCCGTGATCGCAGATATGATGCCTGCGAGGTCTTGATGCACACTCTCTTTGAAACGCTGGCAAAAGACTCTAGCATCGGCGAACCTGGCCAAGCCGCATGCGTTCGCGCTGGCTTTGATGCGCTGACTTTTACCATGAAGTCGTTTCTCGACCCGGAGACACTCATTACATCGGGAAGTACACATCTTTACGCCAGTGCTGCGTCGAGCCTTGTCGTCAAGCATCTCGGCCTGATTCTGGCAAATATTAAGTCACCCGGTCGAAACGGAGAGATTGAAGGCTGGACTACGTTCAAGGTTGCCGACGCTGCCAAAGAAGTCATGAGTTCTGCCATGAAGCTGGACATGAAACTGCTCTCTGAGGAATACCAAGCCATCCACGCCACCAAGCCGCTCCAAACAGCCATCATAAGGAACTCGAAAGCGTTCTGGGAAGGGGTTCTGGAGATGTTTGATACATCGTCCGAACAAGTTGCCGTCGCAAAGGATATTTTTGTCTCGTTAGCGCCCCTCATTGCGGTGGAACAGATCAGGCCGCGAAAGAGCGATAACAAGCTCGATGACTCTGGCAAAACGTTCAACCAGGCGCTGGGCGACACAGCAGATGTGCTTGCCAGAATACTTGGCCGCATCTCTGAGCTTGATGTCACGGATCTGAATGATTTATATGCTGATCGGCTTCCCTTTCAAGTCACCACTGCCTTGTCCGTACATGAAAACTCGGATCTCGCGGAGGCTTCTGCGGAGGTTTTGAAGAGCTGGACCGGAGAACTTTCTCGAAGCGGCGCCCTGGAGCAGATGACGCAGCACCATCCGGATCAGACGCTTGCATCCATTGTCTGGTCCCTGGAGCGCGTCCTGCGACCTCCCTTTCCATGGGGCCCAGTCAAACCTCTGCTCAATATGAGTAGAGATGTCCTCAGGGGCCTCGCGGACCCTTCTTCGGGGGTCCTTCGAGTCAGAACTCTCGACTCCAAATCGGCCGCCACCGTCCTGCGCTGGTGGAATGAGCAGTGGCGCTTTGTCTCCAAGGCTTGTCTTAACATCGAGACATGGTCTTTTTACATCCCGAACGCCATCATGACGGAATTTTGCCGAGAGATTATGGAGCTCGCTGAAGGTCTCATCGCTGAGGACGGCCTCCTTACTTCTGCGACGGCGCTTGGTCGGAGTGAGAAAGACATGATGATCAGGATCCTAGCCCCAGCAAAAGACAACTTTCGGGGAATGGAGAATATGATTCGGCTCAAGGACCGCTGGCTTGTCGATGTTACGGTTCGCGTCCTTTGCAAGATTCTCAAACGACTTCAAGAAAATGGCCTCGCGATTAACCCGAGCTCTCGTAAATTCATTACAGATGCTTGTCTGCCAACAGCCACTCCGGGGAAATACGTACGATCCACAAACTTGACCGACCAACAACGTGCAGAACTCCTCCAAGCTCTAGGACAAACAGATGAAGAAGTGCAGATCTACCAAGAAGGAATCAGTGCACAGCAACGCCAAGAACAGGCACTCAAGGACAAGTCTAAGAAACAGAGTAAACTTGATGCCTGGTCAAAATCAGCGCCTGCAACTGCCTCCTCTTCAACTGCAACTGCCCCCAAACTTGGTCGTTCTAACCGAGACGATGTGTTGGATTTCAGCAAATCAGTCGAAAACCCACTGCTCAAACAAATCGAGGCACGTCAGGCTAGAGCAAAGGCTGCTAAAATACCCGATCCAAAGGCGATTTCTGCCCTGAAGGAAAGTAGGCAGAGAGAAAAGATGGAAAAGGCGAAGCGAGATGCCGAGGCCATCGCGCGGGCCAGGGCGCTTCGCGGGGAGTTTGTCAAAGGCGAAGGCTCTGGCATTGCCGGCCTTGGCCTCATCGGCAAGGATCATTCGAGAAGTGATATCATGGTCAACAGTTCTGACGAAGAGTCTGAGGCCGACAGCGAGGACTCGGATGCCGACAATCAACTTGCTGCGTTGAGCACGGGAGGCGTGAAATCCCTAACCGACGCCGAGAAGCG